TACTTCCCTTCTCTCCTCCCCTCTACCCTTCCACCTTCCACTTTGGCCCTCATGCATCCAATTTACTCAGGAGATCTTGTCTTGTTCCCATTCCTAGGCAGGTCCATGTATGTCTCTGTTAGGGTCCTCTTTGTTACCTAGGTTCTTTGGTGTTGTGGCCTATAGGCTGACAGTCCTTTGCTTTATGTCTAATTATGAGTGACTACATATTATATTTGTCTTTCTAGGTCTGGGTTACCTCACTCAGGATGGTCTTTCCTAGTTCTGTCCATTTGCCTGCAAATTTCCAGATGTCATTGTTTTTTGTTTTTTACCACTCCAATGTGTAAATGCATCACATTTTCTTTATCCATTCTTCAATTGAGGGGCATCTACATTGAGTCCAGATTCTGGATATTACAAATAATGCTGCTATGGACATAGTTGAGCAAGTATCCTTGTGGTTTGAGTGTGCATTCTTTGGTTATATGCCCCAAAGTGGTATTGCTGGGTCTTGAGGTAGATTGATTCCCAATTTTCTGAGAAACGGCCATACTGATTTCCAAAGTAGCTGTACAAGTTTGCATTCCCACCAGCAATGGAGAAGTGTTCCCCTTACTCCATATATTCTCCAGCATAAGCTGTCATCAGAGTTCTTGATCTTGGCCATTCTGACAGTTTAATTACTTTTCTATTGCTATAATAAAACACTATGATCAAGGCAACCTATCAACCACAAGGCAGACAGAGAGTGGTCTAAGTCTTTTGAACCCCTCCTCCCCACCCTTAGAATGGCACTTCCTCCAACAAGGCCACGTCTAATCCTTCCCAAACAGTGTCACCAACTTTTCAAATATAAGAGCCAATAGGGGTCATTCTCATCCAAACACCACAGTAAACCTTCAGACAATTTTGTCTTTCCTTTTTTCCTCAGGTCACCCCACAGTTATCTTTGTCGAGCAGACCATTTAATATTATTATTTTTTGACAATTGCACAGGTGATGCCGTATTTATATCATTTCTATCCCGCCCTCTCCCCTTCCAACGCTTCCTGTGCTCCAACTTCTTTTCAAGTTTATAACCTCTTCTTTAATTTAATTATTACTGGCTGCATGGTCCATTTAGTGTTACTTGCATGTACATGTGTTTAAGGCTGACCATCTGGGACCTATCAGAAGGCTCAACTTTGGAGAAGACTGATTATCCTTCTCTCATCGGCCATTGACTCTAGTTCTTTACCTAACAGTGGAGTCTTGTGAGATTTCCCCCATCCACATCAGCAAATCAACTGACATTGTTACAGTGCAGGTCTTGTTGAGATGATCATATTGTTGAGATTTCAAGGATATAGTTTCCTTGTCACATATAGGAGATACTATAACAAGAGCCCTGGAACTCTGTCTCTTACAATATTCCTACACCCTCTTTGACAATATTCCCCAAGTTTTAGATGTAGGTGTTGTGTTGTAACTGTACCAGTTAGGTAGGGTTGTACACTGTGTGGTCAGCTGTGGACTTCTGGAATAGTCTCTATCTACTGCAAAAAGAACTACATTACCTGTTGTTCAAGGATATGTACTTAGAATGTAGCTAGAAATTATACCAGGGCCTAGAGAGATGGCTCAGTGGTTAGAAGCACTGATTATTCTCCCAAAAGACACTGGTTCAATTCTTAGCACCCAATTGTCAGCTAACAACCATTTGTAACTCTAGTTCCAGGGGGTCTGGTGCCCTCTTCTGCCTCTGTGGGCACCAGGTGTGCCTGTGTACACAGATATATGCAAGTAAAACACCCATTCACATAAAATAAAAGTACTTTTTTAAAAGGAAATTATACTGGTTTAAGGAAGTGGTAATAGTAGGTTCTCTTCATCTAGGGTCAATGACTTCACAATAATGTTGTCTGGGTTTACAGTATCAGGTGTGAATTCCCCTCTATTGAGTGGCCCTAATGTCTAAGTGTGTGGTTTATATATTGTGGGGATATATTTTTTGTTTGTTTTGTTTTTGTTTTTTCGAGACAGGGTTTCTCTATGTAGCTTGGGAGGCTGTCCTGGAACTAGCTCTGTAGACTAGGCTGGCCTCAAACTCAGAGATCTGCCTGCCTCTGCCTCCCGAGTGTTGAGTTTAAAGGTGTGTGCCACTACTGCCTGGCTTTGTGGGGATATCTTGTCATGATGGTCATTGTTGTGTTTTGTAAGTATCACAGCTGAGTAGGACTATTGATTGCTTTTCTCCCTTGTATAGCATAGGGAGAAAAGCTTGCATAGCAACTTTGCATACTCTTGAGAGCTAGTACTCAGGGAAGGGGCTTCTGAGTCAGTTTCAGTTGGAGATATATCCAAGTACTGTTTCCAAAATGTGTGGTGTCTTCAGCAATGGGGTCTCACCTTCAAGTTCTGGAAGATAACAAAAGGCATGGCAATAGCCTATATTGTTTTGGGATTGTTTTAGATCTCCCTTAACCAACAATTTGAAGGGAGAAGTTGCACTAAAGTTTGTGTTAGATAGTCTATGGTTCTTGGGGAAAGAATTGTTACCCTAAGTGGGAGTTCTCTCTTCTCTCTCTCTCTCTCTCTCTCTCTCTCTCTCTCTCTCTCTCTCTCTCTCTCTCTCTCTCTCTCTCTCTCATAAAACAATGCTTCCCTAAGGTTTTTTTTAAACACCCTTAATTTTATTTATCCCTCCTCCCTCTTTCCCTTTGTACTGGCCTCCCTCACCAGTTTCCAGCTAATTTCTTCTTGCCCCCTTAGTGTTTCTATTGCTGTGAAGAGACAGTATGACCATGGCAATTCTTATAAAGGAAAACACTTAATTGAAGTGGTGGATTACAGTTTCAGAGGTTCAGTCCATTATCATCATCATGGTGGGACAGGTGGCATGCAGGCAGACATAGTGCTGTAGAGGTAGCTAAGAGTTCTTTATCTTGCGGACAACAGGAAGTAGACTGAGACACTGGGCAGTATAGGAGACCTCAGAGCCCGCCTCCACAGTGATATCCTTCTTCCACCAAGACATCTACTCCAACAAAGCCACACCTCCTAAATAATGCCACTCTCCATGAGCTTATGGGAGCCAACTGCATTCAAACTACCATACCCCTTTGCCATTTCTCCCATCTAGTACCTGTGTCCAGCTACCCTGCTCTTTAGAACCTAGGGACTGATGCCTATTTTAAACAGATTTTAAAAGTCTAACATTTAAATATGTAGCATGAGCTGGCCATGGTGGCACACACCTTTAATCCCAGCACCCAGTGGGGAGAGATAGAGGCTGGTGGATTTCTGAGTTTGAGGTCAGCCTGGTCTACAGAATAAGTTCCATTGTAGCCAGAGCTATGTAGAGAACCAGTCTATAAAAGTAGATCAATAAGTAAAAAATTTAAAATGTAGCATGCTTAATGTCTAAGGTTTTTTCTTTCATCTTCAAGTTCACAGACTGACAGTAAGTAAAAATTATTTTATTGGTTGGTTAAAGGAAAGGAAAACAATTTTTTAGGGATGGTGTTTGGCATCACCTGCTGAATAGTTTGGGTGTGTTTGCCTGTGTATAAACTGAGTTTGAGGAACTACTGTCAAGGATATTTTCATCTGAATTCAGCTTCGTGATCACTTAAGGTGGGGCTTGTCCTGGGCAACTTCTTTTCAATATTTGGATGTTTCAGGTGGGGATTCTAAGCCGCCCCACAGCCCAGTCTCAACTGCAGCATCCCTAAGTACCTCAGCTGCTGTAGGCAGACTGCACCAGGCAGGCCCTTTTTGTATTACTTTCACATCTGACTAGCAAGTAAACACCCCCCACCCCAGGACTGTGAGGACAGTCTTTCAACACTTGCCTATTTATTCACTTGCCAGGAGGGTGACCCTTGGCAAGTGGTTTATCTCTGTGACTCTTCATTCTCTCATCTTTAAATGAACGGGGGGAGGGGGGGAGGTGTATAGAAATGTACCTCCTTGAAACTTGGGTAGGACAGCAGTGAACAGTCTGGGGTCCTGCAAATACTCCTGACCCTCCCAAATTATTGTTATCAAACAGCTCAGGTGTTTCCTCTGAGACTGTTGTGTTGTCCCCTCCACCACAGCTCAAGGCTGGGAGGATATCTGTGAAGTGTCCCCTCCACACCTGCTTACAGAGGGATGCACTTTATTCCTGTGCCCTAAGGCCACATGGGCTTCTCCTTATTTTGTTATCATGTGCTTTTTCTTTTCTTCTTTGGAGACTGTGTCTCACTATGTCACTCTGGCTGGCTGAGTTCTTCATATAGAACAAGTTATCCTTGAACTCACTGAGATTCACCTGCCTCTGCCTCTGGTATACTGAGATTAAAGACATGCACCATCACGCCAGTTTACAACTCTCCCTCCCGTGTATGAGTTTCTTGCTTGCATGTACATGTTGTGTAATGTTCTAAGACCAGAGAAGGCATCTGATCCTTTGGGAATAGAGTTATGGACAGTTGTGAGATGTCATGTGGGTGCTGGGAAAACCCAGGTTCTCTGCAAAAACAAGTGTTCTTAACCACTCGTCTCTTCAGCCCACAGATAACTTTAATTTCCTGAAGGGCTGGAATCCAGTTGTGGTCATGGTGCCTGAACTCAATGGCAGCACAAGCTGTGAGGCCATTTAAACCCTTGTCACTAATTCCTCTGCAAATGTGCTCTAGTTCATGCTTCATATATGTACTGTTCTGTTATCACAAACTCTTCATTTTTATGCAAAAGCTGACACCATTCTGTAAGAGGTGGACAGGCATTCACTCACTATTCTTGTCTGGTGCTGACATTTAGCTTGTCTCTAGTTTTTGTGTATGTGCAGAAACCTTACTCTATATTTTGAAACATCTTTGACAACATCAAAAGAATAGGCATTATTTAAAAGTCTTTAACTTTGCTGGATTTTTCACAAAGACTGAGTCAATGATGTCATCATGAACGAATATTCTTATTTCATTAGACTGACAGATGACTGATCTTTCTCACACAAACACACATACGAATGCACATAAATGCACACACGGGTGTACAAACTTAGGTTAACTTTATTTAAGTATTTCCTTGTTTTGTTCTGCTCTATCACAACCGAGGCTGAACATTTTTTTCTGATTTTTAGCTGTACCTCCCTTTTAAAGAATTCCATGCCTTGCCTTCTCCTGGAATCTGCATTTCCTACAGATTTTCATGAGGTAGCACTAACAGATAATCTCAGAAAACAATCTCCAAATGTCAGAAAGCAATTTATTAAAAAAAATATTAAGGCACAAAAATACAATTTTTTCAAACAAAAGTCCTTTAAATTGCTGTGTCCTATACTCAAAGAAATTTCTCCCAAATAATAATTTAATCTTTTTAAATAGAGAATATATTTTAACCTCTAAACATTGCCCCCCAAAGAATGAATGTTTTCCTAGTTCTAAAGAAGCTTAATACAGTGGCAAGTTCCTGTCCTATAATATACACTTCCTTAGAAATCTAGTTTTGTCACTTATAGACATCTATATGTTCACAATTTTGAATATTAAACTTCCTCTGATAGATGTAAGGCTTGGTGTTTTGTATTGCTTACTGCATGCTGTCAATCACAGACACGAGTATCAGAACAGGAGACAAAACCTAGTATGGTCTCTCTCAGCTTCAGTCATAGACAGCTAGGTCAATAGCCCCAAACCTCCTTCAAAAGGGTATACAAATCAACTCTGTGTATACACTTTAAGCCTAATCTTGACATTATAGTAGCCTAAACATGATGTACCATAATCCAGACAGAAAGGTGACACTTTCCACAGGATAGGAAAAAAGTTAAAAACAAGTAAACAAACAAAAAACCAAAATACAAAAAACAAACAAAAAAAATCCAGGAAAAGCATGGGGGCATCCTATCAACTCCCAAGCTGACAGTTTCCATCTCTTGTTTCTTACTGAAATATAATAACTACCCCTGAAGGCACATATTTAAATATTAGCCTAATTCAAATTATGAAAAATGTCTCAAGCAAACTTCATAAATCATCAAAATCTAGCATGAACTATAACAAGAAGTCTGAGTACTAAACTGGAGCCTTATCCTCAGACCTCTCGACTAACTGGGAGGTCCGACCAATAGCATCCTGAACAACCGGAGCTGGGCACCTGGAACATCCCAGTGCTGTCTGGAGATTCAGGGCAGATGGGGAGGGAGATCGAGGGGCTACATGGCAGCCCTGAATGACCTCCCAGTCTTTTTGAACTACACTGACTGTTCAGGGACATATGCTGGGGCTCAGAAGGTTCCCCCAAGAAATACTCAACTCAGGTCACTGCACATTAGCACATGGCACAATTATCACTAAAAGCAACAGACACCACACACAGCCTTCCAAAACATTTCTAGGGATGTTAAAATGAAAGTGTTCATTTCAGCCTGGAGCTATGCCAGAGCAGCATCCTTTACCTTTCCTGGTTTTTTTCTTTTTTTCCTTTTCTTTCTTTCTTTTTTAAAGAAACACTACTGAAGCGGTATAAAAAGCATTTCCCTGGCCATCAACTCCCCACACACACTATGCACAATGTGTGGCTCCTCCTGGCAGTAAGCAGAAATATTCAACTGCAGGCAATGTGGGTGTGGGTGAGCTGCCTCATCCGGTGAGGACAGGGTATTAAATACAGATTTGAAAAATCTTAGCAAAAGTCTCAAGTCTAACATCAGTCAGCCTGGGCTACAGCGACACCCTGCAACCCCACCCCTCCAGGGGCATCTCCTATTCTCAAACTACTGGTTAGAAAGTGGACTGTGCCAAAGCCAAAATGGCTAAGTTCACAGGGAAGCATAGAAGTCATCACCGTGGTGGAAACTGGCAGGAGTGGAACCACCGCGGTTGAATTGGCCACTCCTACCCTGGGAAGCTCCAGGAAGCAGTGGGTCTGTGAGAGTCAGCCTTTCTCCACCAGGTCTGCCAACACTGCACAGTTTCCCAGTGTTCACTATGAAAACACATTTCAAGACATACAACTACAGAAATATATCTCTACCAACCCTTTTGAAATGAGTACACAGGAAATAAAACTCAGAAAGTAGGCTTTTGAAAGAAAGGTTTGTTTTGTGAAAAATCATTGCAGGTTATGGTTAAGTGTTCCTGGTCAGATTTTCACATTTTCTCAATTATTCCAAGTTATTCTAATTCACAAAGCCAGGAGTTCTCCAAAGGAAAGCCCTAAGACACTGCCTTTCATTACTAAATGGTGTTAGCCTGGTATCTTTGGTCATGAAAGTAGTAAATCATTTACATTTTCATCACACTACATTCAAGTGCCTTTAAAGTCTACAACATTCTGTATTTAAAAATATTAGAATACGAACTGTCAATCATAGGTTATAAACATAATTTAACAAAGCAAGGTGTAAAGTATGGCTGAGGGTTGGTAAATTACATGTCGATGCATGGTATAGTTAGATGTTTTTATCATGGAATGGCAAACACCGCGAATGTGTAACCAACCTGACACTGCAAGCACCCACAAGGTTCACAAGGAATGGTGCACGAGGGGCTGGGAAGAAAGTGCTTTAGGGGAGCCCCATGGCCAGGGTCACAGCAGAATTAGCAGCAGCACATGTACCTGTGGCCTGCAAGTCTTTGGACATACGTGTCTCGTTGTGCACTTGTGTTCCCCTGAGCTCAGACTCCATGATGCATGGTGGTATTTACAAATAACAGCTTTGTGTACACCAACAGAGGGGACAGGATTAAACACATGAACATGCTCATGTTCCAATATTAAGTCACTTCAATATAAAAACTCGAATAAAATTACCACTACAAAAGATGAACACTGCTGTGGAGCATTCAGGAGAATCATGTTATCTAGAAGGGGAGAAGGAAGGAGTGTTCATAGATTCTTTCCCATTTCCTTTTTTACTTTTGTTGTTTGTGTGGGTTTTTTTGAGACAGGGTCTCACTACGTAGCTCTGTCTGGTTGTCCTGAACTATGTAGACCAGGCTAGCCTTGAATTCAGAGATTTTAACTGCCAGGCATGTACAACCACACCCAGCTACAGATTCTCTGTTCTGGAGAAAACTGAGACCACAAATCTGAATGCTGGTAGCTGTCACCTAACTCATATCTGTGTACACACTGCTAAGACTATCAGATTACTTCCAAATACAGGCAACTTAATGGCAATTAAACTGACTTTACAGGTCAGTTTTAAAAATGGCTTTATGAGGGTGGCAGACCCTCCTACTCCTGAATTCTTCATTTGCGTACACAGATCTCCAAGACAACACAATGAAACAGAGCGAAGCCGTCGACTGCAGGTCCCAGTCACATTATCTTTTCTGAAGAGAACATCTTTTCAGCTATTTCAGATCTGGTCATAATTTCCTAGGGGAAAAGAAAGATAGGTGTGAAATTTGGAGATTACACCCAGAACCTACTAAAACATTCTAATCTTACAAGTCACTATATTTAATCTTTTTAATAGCCCTAACTTTGGGGAAACATCAGCTAAGGTAAGAACCACAGTGCCCACACTCTCTAGCTTAGCAGTCTGTCATGTGGCAAGGCCTCCTCCACTCGTCACCCTGCTACAAAGGTTCACAGTACTACTCCAGAGCCATCTCCCTTCCAGCTCTGCTCATGCTCTACTGCCAACGCAGTGTGCACCAACTGCTAACAGCCACCCATCCTCCGTATGAGCCGAGACTTCATCATTTATCCTTTAATCCATATACTGAAGATGTGCCCTGCCTTGAGCGACCCTGCAATGTGTAGCTGACCAATAACCAACCCCCCAAAAGTCTTTATTTAAATTTCATGCTTAGTAAGCGAAGCTGGAAAAGAAACTATTCCAATTAATTATCTGCATGTGTCAGAAGCTAAACAAGAGACACAAAAGGCCTCTTCCCTTCATTTACACCAAGCATGTTTTATCCTGCTTCTCCCTGCATTGAGACAGCCCACAATCCCTCACACTTCAAGCCAGCTCTGTGTACTTCTGCCTGCTCAGGTAGTAATTGCTTCAAAAGGTTATTTTCAGAATTAACTTCTGAAATACACTATGAACATGGAGGAACAGCTCTAAGGAAATAAGCAAAAGCAGCTTTACCTCATCTGAGTCCACTAAGACGGGGAGAGCTCTGAAACAAAAGAGACAAGAACAGTGAACCCTAGAAAAGCTGCAGGGGCAGCAGGGAACCCAGGAGGAAGCAGGGCTCAGGGTACTGGCAATGCTCTGCCTTCAGATTACAGAAAGGAACTCATTCAAAAACTGCATTGGCATCTGCCTAGGATGTGGGCAATTTCCAGAATGTGTGCTCCTTTGAAAATGTTCAGTCTAAAGTTAACAGAAATATTTTAAAAATTTGGACTTCAAATAGAAACAAGCTAGTACAAGGGAATCCTACTACATATGGGGCAGCTGGTTGAAAACTCACATGAGAATTCAAACACAGTCTACACCCCACCCCCTATTTACTTTTTAATCCTTGACTTTTTTTTTTAACAATTGTCTTGGTATCTGCCACTTAACTAGAAAACTCGTGCTTTTGTGAAAATGAGGAAAGATAAGCACATTACCAGAGGTAATGTTTCTTTTTTACAGAAAACGTTTGTTTGGAGATTATTTAATTATTGCATGTGTTAGCAGGTGTGTGTGCTTGGAGCACAAGTGTGGAAGTCAGGGGCTATTCAGGGGCTTGTTCTTGCCTTCTACTGCCAAGGCCCGGGGACTGAACTTTGCCTGCTGTGCCAGACACAGACAGACCTAAAATCCCCAGTATTTAAGGATGAAATACAAAGAAACTTGGAACTGGGGGTGGGGGGAGGAGAAGCAAAAGCATAAAAAATAAAACCACCACACAAAATGAAGTCCACATGACACACAGGGATAAAAACTAAAGCAGACTCCTTCTGAAGTCTTGAAAACTCAGGCTCGTGAGACGGCTCAGTGGATAAGTACGCCACCAACACAGTGACTTGAATTAGATCCCTGGGCCATATGGAAGGAGGGAACCGACTTCTACAAGTTGTTACCTGACCTTTGTCATTACCTCTGTGAGCATGTGTGTGCACATACATAGGTGGATATAAAAAATTGTTTTACATATGTCTGAACTTTTCTGTAAAACAAAATGAAATGATTCTGAAAACCGTAACCAGGAAGAGAGGGAGTTAATTGCAGGCCACTAGTATTGAAATAGTTGTACAGTAGAAGGGCAGGGGAAGGGGTTGGGGCTGTGTTTAGCTCTGTAAGAAGTAATGACGACACACACACACACACACACACACACACACACACACACACACACACACACACACTGAGAAACATCCAATGTAATCTCCTTAAACTACAGCCTCAAGTTCAAACTTGAATAGAGGATATTTACACATCTGTGAACGAAGAGGGAATATTTTCTTCCACCCACTTCAAATCTTCATCCTGTAGAAATAAATACTTATATTTAGTATTTGCTAAATATCACTGAAAACATACATTTTAGGGGGGAGCATGTTTGTAAATTTACAAACCTAAATCAGATAGATGCATGGAGTCTGTTAGTTGCCACAAGTGCTGTAAGAATCTGGCTCAGGATGTCACACACCAAGTGACAGTGAAAACAGCTGGTTTTTCTGTTTTTTGTTTTGTTTTAGCTAAGAATATTACTGTTCTTTTTGTCTCAAGAAGTCAAAATGAAAATGCAGAATTGGGACCCATGTTGAAACGTGAAATTCATTTGTGACTCATACACTTTACATGCAGAGGCTGAAGGCAATTTTAAATAGTATTTGTAAGAATTTTAGTATATGAAACAAAGTTCCACAGTAGTTTTTCCACTCGTGGTATTATGCTGATGCTCAGAAACTTGGGGGCTTTGAATTTTCAGATTAAAGTGCTCTAGCTGCAGCTCTAAGACAGCTAAGTAAAACTAGAGGTTTTTAAAAGCAAAAATTCCCATGAAACTACTCAAAGGATACATTTTTACAGACTGCCCAAAGTAAAAGTAAGAGAATTCATCAAATCCAACAGAGAACAGTGTTGTCATACAGCACCTGTCCTGTGAAATGCCCACATATACAATTTTTAGATAGTATCATCCCAGGGCAGCAGAGTGTAAGCATGTTTAAGGCTTCATTCTGCTCCACTGCCACCAACATCACTTTCATGCACGGAACATGTGAGGTATTTTAAGACTTATCTTTGAGCCAAATGTGGTAGTGCAGGCCTTTTATCCCAGCACGTGGAAGGCAGAGATAGGCAGATCTGTGAGTTTGAAGCCAGCCTGGTCTACACAGTGATCTCTGGGTTTGGCTCACAACCAGCCACAACTGCAGTTCCAGAGGTTCTGACTCTCTGCTCTGAACCGAGGGTTCCAGGCACACACATGCACATACATACATGTGAGCAACAATCATATACATAAATTTAAATAAAACAGTTTATAAACTCATCCCTGCCTTATATTCTTGCTGAGAGCTGCTGATTGCCAAGGGCTCTGGGAATGTACAGCAGTGACAACTACTATTTAACAAGTTGAACCACCAGACATACAACTGCCTGCTGGAGAACCCCACTTGACAAATCCGTGGGGTTAGTTACTGACTGTAAATGACTGGTTGTTTCTGTCCATAACTTCCTTGGGTGCCACTGCTATGCCTCCCTAATATGAACAGCTGTGGGTTCTTTCCGCAGCCTTAGGTGGTGTGCTTTACACTTACTGAGCACACATATAACTGTGGATGGCCAGGAAGATGATTTCTGCTTAAGCTATATAATTTTGGTGAATAGAAATAATACTTGGATATTTTATATACTCAGACTGACATAGGATTCTCAATCACAAAGACAGCTTTTTACACAGACAGCTAATTTAGACTCCAGAACAAATTCAAAGCAGGTTGATTGCCCCTGAAGACAAATATCTGGTTGCCCCTAGAGACAAATACTTGGTCATTTTCCCAGGTGTTTTGCTGATTCAAGGTCAGAGCTTGAAGCAATTTTAGTAGACATAACTCCTTACAGCAATGAACTTTCTGCACATACTCCCTACCACTCAAGGTTCAGCTAATTAATTGTTAAGTCTTGAATTACAATGTCATTTTTCTGTCTGGGAACACTCACTAACCATTTAGGCTACATGCATGGCCAAGTGTTACTCACTGGAGGGTCAATGTGACATCCCTAGCCTAAGAGAAGCTATGTATGTTATGAGACTGGGTCAGGTTATGGAAATGTAATATATAATTATCCAGAGTATGGCTTTGGGAGCAGAGGCAGTGAAGAAAGCAGAGGAACGAAAGACGGTGGGGGAGGTTGAGGCTGTGGCGAAAATTAGAGAGAAGCTGCTGATTAGAGGAATGAGAAGAGATGCAGAGCTAATTAGGAAGCTGTGAAGATATTTTTCAGAGAGGATTTTTTTTCAAGATGAAGTAAAGAGAAAGTTACTATTAGAAAGAATCTGTGTATTCTTATTTTTCTCCTCAAAGTCTGACCCTCAAATAGATAAGAATTTTTTCCTAAGCCTTCAGCCGCATTTGAGGATTTTTTTTTTTTTTTTGCATACCCTGGGTGCTGACTGGAGGCTGGCCCCCACACCCCAGATAGACTAATATTCTACATTTTATTCATGCTTTCACAGTTTTAAAAGTCTGTTATTTTGGAAAGTGAATGGAACACAAAAAGCCCTTTTCACAACAGGTGACAACCTGTACCTAACACGGCTTCAAAAGAAATTACTTGGATGTGCTGAGAAGCCACCATTGACTTTTACCAAGACAAAGCCTGTCCATCTGGGGTGAGCCGGTAGAGCCCTAGCCACACATGGACTCAGACATAACAGGGGTAGGGAAGCCTGAGGTGCTGCACCTCCAGCAAGTGCCTGACCTCAGGGTGCTGGCCCAAGTACAGCACCTGACAAATGAGAATAGACAGCAGCAACATCGAAGCTATGGGCCTGAACTTGCACCGGTGCCTGGAAACAGCTAATTTAATAACAACAAACCTTAGCAAAAAGCCCCTTTGATGATGAGCGACTCTGACATGGACAGACTCTAAAGTATTAAGACAGAAACTCCACTAAATACAGATAGATACTCACAAAATTATCACAAGTAGGTTTAGCTGTTCCGTTTGAAACTGTTTTTGAGGCTCTTAGTTTTATTCCTTCAGCTACAATGAGAAACATCACAGAGACATATAGATTATTATAAAATTATACTTTCCTTTATAACTTCACACTTAATACCCCCCCAAAAGAAAAAAAGATTACTTTTTTGAAGAGTTAGGAATGGCCACTTTGGGATTAGAAATGAGGCACAGGGAACACTAACAGGCTTCTGACTTGATACGCAGCAACAACTGAACACTTTACAGTACAGTGGTATATCTCCCCCCCCACACAACACACATCAAGGCATATGCAGCAACAACTGAACACTTTACAGTACAGTGGTATATCTCCCCCCACACACACACATCAAGGCATACGCAGCAACAACTGAACACTTTACAGTACAGTGGTATATCTCCCCCCCCCACAACACACATCAAGGCATACGCAGCAACAACTGAACACTTTACAGTACAGTGGTATATCTCCCCCCCCCACAACACACATCAAGGCATACGCAGCAACAACTGAACACTTTACAGTACAGTGGTATATCTCCCCCCCCACACAACACACATCAAGGCATACGCAGCAACAACTGAACACTTTACAGTACAGTGGTATATCTCCCCCCACACACACATCAAGGCATACGCAGCAACAACTGAACACTTTACAGTACAGTGGTATATCTCCCCCCACACACACATCAAGGCATACGCAGCAACAACTGAACACTTTACAGTACAGTGGTATATCTCCCCCCCCACACACACATCAAGGCATACGCAGCAACAACTGAACACTTTACAGTACAGTGGTATATCTCTCCACACACACACACACAACACACATCAAGGCAATTGGCCAAATGTCACTTCCAAATGATCTTTTCTCTGCACTGAGAATGGAGTCCTCTCTAGCTATTTTAAATTACTAACTGTAACCACCCTATTGTATTATCCACTAGGACTTGTCCTTCAGTCTAACTCTGTCTTTTTTTTTTTTTTTTTTTTTTTTGGTTTTTCGAGACAGGGTTTCTCTGTATTGCTTTGGAGGTTGTCCCTGAACTCGCTCTGTAGACCAGGCTGGCCTCGAACTCACAGAGATCCGCCTGACTCTGCCTCCCTAGTGCTGGGATTAAAGGTGTGCACCACCACCACCACCACCTAGTGAATTCTGTCCCTTTTAAGCAACTGTTGTCTATTACTGTTCCTGCTTTTTCTCCTCACCTCAACCTCTGTCACCCCCAGATCCTGAGATCAAAGGTTCGGCTTCTACATCAGTAAGAACATGCCGTGTCTGCCTTTCTGTCCCTGACCTACTTCACTGAGCAGTATCCTCCAGGCTCAGGTTCTGGCAACTGTATTTCACAGCAAGCAGGCTTTCAACTTGCTGGTCTGCAATGCACCCGTGGAGAAGCTCAAGCATATATACTTCCCCAATTCAATTTAAAGTTTAAGGATAAATGTGTAAGATTTACAATATTTCAAAATAAGACATCGTTGGGAGCTTGGGACATATCTCAGTAGTAGAGCAGACTGTGTAAAGCCCTAGGTTTTATCACTAGCACCCCAACACACACATCTTAGAAATTTTTACTTGCTTGCCATATAAACAGCAGAATATGCTTATAGTATGAAATATGATATGAAAATGATTTTCTTCATATTTGATTAAAGCTCTTTTTATTTTTTAAAAAAATTATGCATGTTTGTGTGTATGGGTAAGACCCACTCATCTTAAAGAGACTTTACACTGTCCGTGACTCGTAGTAAGTCGTGTGTGAGGCGTCCTCTTTAGCTGGCTATCCTCACGGTGACTGTAACCCACTGTGGGGCCTCCAGTAGCTCACTGCTGTTTTATGTCTCCCTGATTATTGAGAACACTGACACTTTCAATGTGTCAGTCCAAGTCTTCTATTCACTGTTACCATGTGGATAGCCTTTCAATGGATGTCTTCCTATCATTCTCTACCTTCTTTCTTTACGGAAGGTGGTGTCTCGTTTAGTCTAGAGTTCACTGTTTCAGGAAGACTGGCTGGCCAGCAAACCCTGCAGTAGATTTGCCTGTTACACTGCCTCTCCTCTCCCTCCTGCCTCCAGCACTGGTGTTACATCTGACTATTATGTAGGTGCTAGGATCCAAACTCAAGCTCTCGTTATATACTCAGCAAACACTCCTGAGCCACCTCCTCCGTGTGTGTAGGTGCGTGCGTGCGTGCGTGCGTGCGTGGGTGTGTGTGGTAGAGACCAGAGGACAACCTCTGGTGTTGTTCCTTGGGTCTACACTAGCCTAGAATCAGCCAAGAAGGCCAGGATGGCTGGCCAGTGAGCAAGGACCTACCTCTCCAGCACTGGGGGTTATACATGCATCCTAACTAGCTACTAAGCTTTCTTTCTTTCTTTTTTTTAACATTGGTTCTGGGGACTGAACTCATGTCCTCATGCAAGGCAAACACTTTAGGCTAAGACATCTCCCCAATTCTCATAAGAAAAACTTTAAACAATACATGTGACCTTGCATCTCAAGTAAAGATTCCATTCTCTTAAATTATGTACAATAGTCATATGAAAAGAAAACATATGACGCACTTAAATTTTCAGATGTTACCATGAATTCCTCAACTTCATCATCAGAATCATCTATCAAAGGCATGAAGGCATACCTAGATAAAAACAAAAGAGACTTTAACCCTGATCATTGTCAGTCATTGCATATAAAAAGTTGCATATTCTTATGCATTAAGATAATAACTAACCCCCCACATACCCTATTTTAGCATTTTTCTAATGAAAGGAAGGTGCTAATCTGATTAGTGACATTAAAGATAAGATCAAATACCTTCTCAAAAATACTGTTTATAACAAATTTGCTTCTACAAATTGTCCAGTATAGCAAGGAGAGTGCATGCCTCATGTCTATAGAGGCCAGAAAAGGGCATCCAAAGCCCTGAAGCTGGAACTATAGGTGGTTGTGAGTTGCTATGTGGGTAGTGAAAGCTAAACCTGGGTCCTCTGCAGGAACAACCAATGCTCTTAATCATTGACTTATCTCTCTAGCCCTGAAGAAGAAAATGCTTATAGACAAAAAAGCATTATGTTTCGAGGGCTGATGATGATTTTCATATCACCAAATGAGTCTACATTTAAACAATATTTACATTTTATAATTCTCTAAGCTTTTTTAATTATTAAATGCATCACATGTGAAGTACTGTTGATGGAAATAATCTTTCCTAAGGTCTTTTGGGTCATATCTGTAACGGTTCCTTTGCCTTATAGCACACGGGAAAAGTGCCTCCAAAAACATTCAGGAAACATTGTTGATAACCGCAAAGTCAAATGTCCAGTACTTTTGTAATGAACACACACACACACACACACACACACACACACACACACACACACAGTATCACTCACATTACAAAATACTGCACAGCCTTTGGTTACTGTGATGTATCCATTCATGGTGATACAGAAGTATATTTTTAAGAAAAATGTAGAGCTATTTATTTTTAATTCTTTTTGGGGGAAGGAGGCTCAAGACAGGCTTTCTCTGTGTAGCAGCTCTGTCTGTCCTAGGACTCACTTTGTAGACTAGGTTGGCTTTGAACAGAGATCAGCCTGCCTCTGCCTCCCTAGTGCCACGCACCAGCACTTTTATGCATCCCAGGCTGGCCTTGAACTCACAGAGATACATCTGCTTCTGCCTCCTGAGTGCTGACCCAACAAGCCCAGTTATTTACATTTTTATTATATTTACTTATTTGTGTGTGTGCATGTGCATGCATGTGCTCATACAACTGGAGGTCACAGGACAACTTTCAACATGTGGGTCTCAGGCAATGAACTCAGGTGTGCAGGCTTGATGGAAAGACCTTTTACCTGTTGAGTCACCTCACTGGTCCAATATGATTATTAATTGTTGAAGGAAACAGACTTCCTAATAAGAAATGCAATAGTTCTCTCCTTGGAGAAGAAGGCAGGCAGGAGGAGGTGGGGCTGGCCACCACAGTTCAAAGTACAGATTTCTTTGCCATTTGGTCCCTCTCTCCCTGTCCTGAATCCCAAACTGTATATACCTGCCTGAGCATCAGGTCAGTTGCTCTAGAAGCTTCTGGCTCTCAGCATCCTGGATTTCAGATTAGGACACTTATAGTCTATGCAAATATTCTAAACCAAAAGCACTTCTAAGCATGTGGTGTAAGAAGGTTGCACCTGAACACAGCAGAGGTGGCCCTGATAGTATAGGCGGGGTAGAGCTGACCCTGAGAATGTAAAAGCAGAACTGGTCCCACCCTTCACTCATTGCTGCAAGGGTGAATTAGCCTAGGCAATGCTGGAGAGCTCACCCTGGTTGGTGATGAGGACAGGGGAGAAGTGGTGGACTGACCAACTCTACAGCTGCCCAGTCCTAGACCAGGGTTATGACTTGGCCCATCCCAACATTCACCCTATGACCTGCTGGAGCACGTGAAGAGGGCTTGCCAACATACCCAAACTGTAGGATCTCCACTGTAATACAAATTAATAAGAGGCCCAGAGACGGATATTGGGGTTCAAACATCAAACTGAACATCAGAAAAGCAAAGTAGCTGGCCACTAGCTTTTTACCTCTACCTCAGGATGAATGGGCTGATCCTGTCTCCATGAGCAATCACCAAACCTCAGACTGTACCCTGTCCTCAGAGTGGCTGGAGAATAAATCCTCCTACTGAGGTTTTGCTCCTGACTTATATACCTCTCAAGAGTCCTGCGATTAAATGTGTGAGCTATAATTCTCTTTTAGACTGATTCAATCTTGTATGGATCTGGAGGGCCTTGAACTCTAGCTCTTAATCCTGAGTTCTGGGATTAAACCGTGTACCACCACCTCCTAGCTTCTGGCTGCTGGGATTCAAGATGTGTGCCTGGCTTGTGGCTGACTTTGCTTTCTGACTCTTCACACAGCTTTAATAAATCATATATATCACCACACCCCACAACACAGGGCAACAGGATATCCAAGGAGAGTCCTAATGAAGGCCCAGCAGAAACCAGAGGCCTTGAAGCCGACCAACGACTCTTTACAGTGAACACTTGCAAGTGAAGACAAGGACCAAGGGTTTACTGCATGACTCACTGTGTCACATGGCAGCTTCCAAGATTAGATTTTAATTTTTTTCCTTTTTTCTCTTAAATTGTTTTATTTTGGGGGAGCTGCAGGGACAGATGGTGGATGGGAAGGGACGGGAAAATGAATGGGACAAAGATGCATGATGTGAAATAATGTGAATAAATAAAAAGAAGGGAAAAAATGCTGTACTTGCCGTACTAACTATACTGCACACCTCACTGACTTCTATGTACCATGACTTCCACAATTCTCCCCAAATGTATATTCTTTCCCAGCCCAATCTTTCCCTGTACTATTGCTATCTTGAAGCTATACCATAATTCCAGCTCTTCATGGAGTCGTTATCTTCTTCCTGGACTGCTTAATGTATCTGTCTTACTGTCTTCCATTTGTTATGCCTGTCTTCTCACTTGAGTATACAACTGCTTAACAACAAAGTACTTCCCATCAGTCTCTGTGTTTCCTGTCATGGTCCCTGCAAGCATCAAGGCTAGTATGGAAATGATCTGTGTGACGTGAAGGATAAAATCTGGGTCAGCGCCACTTGAGTAGGTACCAAGTCAAGACTTCTAGAGTCTGACCTCGAGGGGGTTTGTTTTGTTTTGTTTTTCCTTACACATTTAAGCACAATAAAATTTTTTGGAAAAGTCTTCATGTGACAATTATCACAACAAAGCTTCAGGGATGGCTACATCAAAATTCTCTTGCAAAACTTACCTCTATAACAAAGCACCTGTGACCTTTAAGATAAGAATGAGTTCTGCTGCCTGTATTTGTAATAAGCATAAGGAGGGATTCTATTGACAGAGTTTATAAACTCTGGGACCTTTCTTTCTTTTTTTTAAATTTTTTTATTATATATTTAAATTAGAAACAAGCTTGCTTCACACGTCAGTCCCAGCTTCCTCTCACTCCCCTCCACACCTGCTCCCCTCCACTAGCCCCCCCTAGCCCCCCACTCCTTTCCCCAGGGAGGGTGAGGCCCTCCATGGGGGATCTCTAGAGTCTGTCATTTCGTTCCAGGGAGGGCCAAGGCCCTCCCCCAACATGGGACCTCTTTCATAAGGAAGGATTCTATTCACTGAGAGACAAAGCTCAGGATTAGGGCCTAAACAATGCTCAGGATTTGGGGGACTCAAGTAAAGGCTGGCTCCACAGAATAACAAAAGATCACCAGGTTGTTAGATGACATCCACCCCAGCTTTCCAGGTGAACAGGCATCATTTCCTTCCCTTGAAGAACAAAAGACTCTGAATTGTCCAATGCTTTCTGTGAGCTGTGCCTCTGAAGTTCTCAACGCCACAGAAGGCAGCCAACAAATGCCTGCAAGTCATAATTTCCCATGTTGTTACCTCTGATTATTTGCTGATGGCCTCCATAAGAACATTATCACAATCAGGATGAGTGAAAAGAGAAAGCTCCAAAACGCATCATCAACCCAGAGCTCCATCCAGTCCTAGAACAAAGATGATCCAAATGTAAACTGTCAATTTTCTGATAAATGTGCAAATGTTCCACTCAAATAGTACACAGCCGTTACCAAGAACTCTCCAGCTGGCAAGCCCTCCTAATAAATAAACAAGCAACAGTTTTCTTCTAAGGAAACCTATTTTGTTAAGTGTTGTTTCTAAAGAGCATATATATTTCCCTTCATGAACAGAAAGAGTTAGGGAAAAAAATCAAAACATAGACAGAACTTCAAGCAGAAAATATCACAGAGGGGGAAATGGCAAAAGGTTGGGCTTCTTTCCTTGAACTGTGTCTTCCACTGCAGCAGATTAGGGCTTCTGGGCCCTTTGCAGGTGTACCTGTGATCTCAGAAACAGGCGCAGAGTGAGAACTGAGATGAAGCATGGGGCATGTCCCCAAGCAATGCTGAGTGTGACAGCAGAGCAGCACTGCCAGCACCTTAGGTGTTTAGTTCCCTTTAGGCACCACGCCAGGCTGGGGTGGAGCTCAGAGAAGCAGAGCATGTGCAATGCCCTGGGTGCCATCTCTAGCACGAAAGGTAAAAAGTTCAGAAAAAGGGATAATAAATTTGAGAGGAACTTGCTCAAATATTTATTTACTTTTGGTGTTATGATACAGGGTCAAATATAGCTCAGGCTAATCTTGAACTTCTGATCCTCCACCCTCCTCTGGCTCCTGAACACTAGGTTACAGGATTGTGCAACTACTGACAGTTTATACGGCACCGGGATTAAACCCAGGGTTGTGCACATGAGGCAAGCATTCTACCAAGTGAGATCCACCCCCAGCTTCAGAGTTATTTAGAAGAGAAAAAAGTTTTGATGCCTCTACAAAAAACAGGTAAAATAAAAGGTAAATACTCAATGAATTATATCTTTACAAACTAAACTCTTTGAAATTCCACAAAATGAAACACTATAATTAAAAAAACAACTGTTTAAATAATTAATTTAAACTTTAATTCTTTAATTAACCAGTAAATTGTTGTTGTTGTTGTTGCTGTTGGCTTAGTGGCTGCACATGAATCTACTGATAGTTTCATTATCCTCTACAGCCCTCAGTCAGCTCCCCACTGACCACTTAGGCTGTGGCCTGGTGGGGCTTCCTGTTCTGCAGCCACATCTCTCTAGCATTCTACTTATCAGTAAGACTCAGGAGTCAAAGGCTGGCGTAGAAACCTTGGTAGCTCAAAGACTGAGTAGCAACTAGTTGACCTAGTTGGGCTGGAGACACCATAACAGACTCTCTTTCCTCATCACAAAATAAGAGGAAGCTCAAATTCCAATCCCCGCCTTTTCCTTCCTGTGTCTTTTCTTTCCAAATTGCTGGCTTCTCAATGGCCAATTTCAGTAAGTCAGTTGCTGGTTCTGCCCCGATTCAAGGTATAACTTTATTGGGCAGTCTCAGGAGTGTCAGTGTCATAGTTCCCCTCTTGTGGTGTCTCTGGACAAAAAACAAGGTCAGCTAGTTGCTACTCAGCCTCTCTAAGTTAGCACATTTTCCATTTTCCTTTTCTTTTGTCTTTTTTTGTTTGTTTGTTTTTTTGAGACAGGATTTCCCTTTAGCTTTGTAGGCCAGGCTGAGGCTGGCCTCAAACTCACAGAGATCCACCCGCCTCTGCCTCCCAAGTATTGGGATTAAAGGTATGTGCCACCACCACCTAGCTTAAATTAGCACATTTTACCCCAGCCTTTGACTCCTGAGTCTTACTGCTAGTCAGAGAGTTAATTTAAAACTAACCAGCCCTTATCAATTAAACTAACCCATTTATATTAATCTACATCCTATCACATGGTGTTACCACTCTTCCATCTGCTTCCTCCTGCTTCTTCTCCAAGTCTCCTGGCATCTCCTGCACACCTAGATTCCTTCTCCTCTTCCTTTCTCTCCCCAGAAATCCCGCCTATACTTCCTGCCTAGCGTGTGGCCATTCAGCTTCTTATTATACCAATCACAGGAATACTTCTTCACAGTGTACAAATACCACAACAAACCATTTTAATTATCTAGCCAATAATTTAATTAAATTTTAAAATACTGAAGATTTTACTTACTGATTGGCATTTTGCAATCCTGAAGGTCTTTGTTGTCCACACCATAAATACTATAGAAGCTGAAAGACAGAGAAAGTCACCTTTGAAAGAACATACAACACTGAAATGGGTAGTTTTTTAAAGAGGCATAGATGGCTTACCCAGCACAGCAAAGATGAGTGTATTTGTAAAATGCCTATACAGTGAAAATTTCACAGTGTTCTTTCTTAGCCTTAGAGTCTTCATAGTCTGTGCCAAACTTATAAAAATGTGAAAAACTAGTTAAGGAAAAACATGGAAAATGGCAATGTATACTTAAAAGAAAACACAGTAAGAATCTTGTACTATAGTCCTAAACACAGCAGTGCTAAATACAGTTCTTAAAACAAAACACAGAAAATGTATCTTAATCTATACCATTCTAAATTTACACTTAATTACACAGTTTTTTATATAAAATTTCTATTGTCTGAAACAAATGAACAACAGACTTTAAGGGAAAAAAAGAAAGAAGACTTGTAATGTGTTCCTGTGACATAGGACAGTACCGTGTACACAGTCAAAACAGAAACCCTCAGCTAAGATACCTCTTGCTACCTATGACACATTTCTATTGCTTTCTTTTTTTTGTTTGTTTTTGTTTTTCTAGCTGATTCTCATGTTATTCTCTAAATAGCCATAGTTGAGTAGTTAGGACATCTATCAGTTCATTTTTATGAATTAAAAAAAGGACAAAGAAAACAAGCCTGAGTTTAAGTATCTTTTGAAAGGACAGGGGCATACTAGGAATGCAAGCTCTGCAAGCAACTTAAAGGCCAGGGAGAAAAGGCCTGTGGACAGAAGGACACAAGCACAGGGAGTTGGCTGGGCACAGTGACAACATACAGGTCTTTCCTGGAGGCCTGTTCTCATGAGGACCTTTAAAGAAGATCAGGCTAACAGTGGGTCCAAGGACATCAGAGGGAAAAGTCTTGCAGTTTGATCTTGATTGGACAGCAGATACAGAAGGTTCAGCTAATCATTCATGAGGCAAAGAATGGGAATTTGGAGGGTCTGGTCTGCTTAGTCAGGTAAAGCAAGGGCATCCTGGACTCTGAAGCAGGTGTTATGGGAAGGCCTTTCCCAGAACACAAATGGTGGAGGGGAAGTTATAACACTGGCTGCTTTCCAGGAGCACCAGGCTCAAGGAAGGCTAATACTGTTCTGAGTAAGAAATAGAAAGACTTCTTTGCTGACCCCTCAGGTCAGCAGAGACCTGCAGGTCTCTGCTCATTCAGGTGGTTCCCTCCTTAGAGGAAGATCAGCAGTCTTTATTTATGAACCAGACACCAACAGCAACAGAGAGCAGGGCAAGCTTTCGATTTATACCTAAATACTTCAAAAAAAAAAAAAAAAAAAAAAAAAAGGCAGTGGTGGCACACACCTTTAATCCCAGCACTGGGGAGGCAGAAGCAGGTGGAATCTGTGAGTTCGAAGCCAGCCTGGACTACAAAGTGAATTCCGGGACAGCCAGGGCTGTTACACAGAGAAACCCTGTCTCAAACAAAAAACAAAAAACAAAAGACTAAATACTGAATTAAAAAACTACTTTGTAAAAACTGATTTTTCAATCATTCTAAATGTTCAATATTTTACAGTGAAGGTCTCTCTCTCTTCCTTTTAAAAAAAATTTAGTTAATTTAAAAAAAAGTTCTTTGAGAAAGGGTCTCACTGTATAGCCATGGCTGGTCTGGAGCTCAGAGATCCTCCTGCCTGCCTCCAAGTGCTGAGATTAAGATGTGCACCACCATGCCTGCCTGGCAAGATCAGCTTCTGGGGTAACACACTCCAACAAATTAGGTCCTACTGTGAGAATCTACAAAAATGCAAACATACCACACTTCTTAAACATATCAAACAAACATATGAAACAAACAAATCCGTTCTTGTTTGATCATCCAAAGTGTTCTTTAAAAACCAAGGAGTTAAAAATATCAAAAGCAAATTTGAAACTGCATGAGCATTTACTTACCAAGACACTGTTTAATTAGGGTCAAGTTTAACTCACCCCACCACCACCCTCTGCAGAAGAGAAAGCAATAATGAAAGCGCACAGGCCCCGTAAGGTGGAGAGAGCCAGGCGAGCATGCTGCTGCAATAGGAAAAGGATATCCACCAGCATAAGCCCGAGTCAAGAAGAGAGAGAGGCAGGCTGGCCAGAAGAACAAGATCAGAGTCATTCGCCTGCAGCAAAACAGCAAAACAAATAACCAAGCAGCAAAGTGGGGCACGGGGAGACATAAGAAAGGCTATCAACTCTGAATTTCTGTCAGTGAAGATTCTTAACAGAATTAATTTGTGTTAGAGTCACTGAAATCAAAGAGAGCAAGGTCATCACCCAAAACCATGAATTTTATATGCAGCCCTGCTTATATCTCCTTGTCATCTCTCACCACCCAGGAAACCTACTTCTCACCTCATAGTAGTAAAAAGGACCAAATAGCAAGAGACAGCAAATTTGGCAAATTCAGGTTCAAAGAAAAGTGGCATTATACTAACTTACTTCTAGTCACCACCCAATACTGTCCAGGATAATCTTAATTTCTGGATTTCTTTATGACCACCAAGTAAATTAAACCTCTCATTTTGCAGAAAATACAGAGCTCTTTCTTTGGAATTTTCTGCCAAGGTTACTACCTGAGAGTTTTCCCAATAAATATAGATTTGTAAATGCCAAGAGAAAACAGCACATTTTGTTTGCTTTGAGACATAGTCTCTTTTGTAGCCCTGGCTGTCTTTGAACTCTTTTTGAAGGTCAGGCTGGCCTCTAACTCAGAGATCACCTCTGCCTCTCAAGTACTAGGATTAAAGGTGTACACCACCACACCCAACTACAACATGCTTCTGGATGGAAAGTCTGAAGTTCAATTGCTGGCATATTCCCTGACTTGTCCAAAGCTCCAAGCACAAACTACTTTAGAAAAGAGGCAATTTCAAAGGGGCAGCTCAGGTTCCTTTCTGAATACACAATGTCAAGGACAAGCCATCAGGACAGAGTTGTACTGCTGAAGACGGTTGCTTCCATCTCTACTGCAGCTCTGCTGTCCCAACGCCAGAGGTGTCGATCTCCTGTCCATTCTCCACAGACAGGCAAGCATCTCTAAGAAGTCACTGCAGAGGTTGCACAGGACCCACTCACGTCATTACATTTTCCCATGCCATGATTCCCCACCACATTTCCATGCATAACAGCTAAGCTGGGGCATTCTGCCACTGTTCCCTTTAACTTCACACTCGCAACTATTCTTTCCCCTCAATTTTCTTCCTACTTACTCAACCATTTCTGTGAAGTCTTTATTTTCTCTGCCAGAGTTTCCTTTTGCCTCTATTCTCACACCAGCACTCTAAAATGGCATTTCTCCCGCTATGCTGTTTCAGTGAAGTTATATTATTTGTCTCTTTATCGGGGGTGAATTCTGTAAACACAGAGACAATATTCTCTATTTATTTCCCACTGTGTGAAGTGTACATTGAGTACTTACATGTTTAGTGAGCTATCAGAAAAATAAAGACATTCCTATCTGGGGAGTTATTACTTTCTTGCCTTTAGCTAAACTCTTATATTGAGAAAACAATAATCCACAATTATATTTTATTCTACCATTATTATGAGTTAAAAACAATCTGATTCTATACCACAAACTATTTCGGAAGGACATGATAAAGGATATGAACCACACAAAAATGGAGTCAATAACTGCTAAAGTAATGTCACTCAAAACAACAGCTAAATGTTTAGAACCCTGAAAAATAAAAGTAGGGGAAAGTCTAAATTTATAGAAGTTTTTATTGTAGTGTATAAGTAACATCTGAAGAAAAACAATTTCTCTTTTTTCTTTCTTTTTTTTTTTTTTTTTTTTTTTTTTTGGTTTTTCGAGACAGGGTTTCTCTGTGGCTTTGGAGGCTTTTGGAGACTGTCCTGGAACTAGGTCTTATAGACCAGGCTGGTCTCGAACTCACAGAGATCTGCCTGCCTCTGCCTCCCAAGTGCTGGGATTAAAGGCCTGTGCCACCACCACCTGGCCAATTTCTCTTTTTATCACCTACAACATCATGTAAGATTTTATATCTTGATGGAATTGTGTTAGCACATAGAAACCATCTGTTTTGGGAACAACAAATGTAATTTACCAATTTATTTCATGCTAGAAATAAATAGACTAGCAAATAAACAAAATGCTTGTCATGCCCCAATCTCACACAGACCTTCCATTTCAATCTCCTTTCTTATCACACAAACCCAGACCTGATTCTATTCAAGGAACAGACTCCTGCCCTCCCCTGATGGTAAAGGGACACACTCATGCAAAAAGGGCAAAGTAAAGGTAGGATACTATGTGGAAAGGGAGAAACAAACTATAAATTAGATGCCTGCTTCAAGAGTCACATTTAAAACAGCCACTACCTGAACTGCTGAGTATGTAAATTTTAAAATGTGTAATATTGTATTTATATGTGTGGTATTATTTTTCTATAGTCTTTTTAGGAAAGACTAATTCGCAATGAATTATATGTATGCATATATATTTCAATATATGTGAGGCTAGTTGGGTGTGGTGGCACATGCCTTTAATCCCAGCACTCAGGAGGCAGAGGCAGTCAGATCTTGGTGAGTTCAAAGCCAGGCTGGTCTACAAAGAGAGCTCCAGGACAGCCAGGGCAGTCACACAGAGAAACCATGTCCCAAAAACCATCTATATCTATATCTCTGTGTGTGTGATATTCTTCCTGATTATGCAAAGGAACAAATACCCTCAAAGAATAAATGAATAGGTTTGTAACACGGAATGTAGGTGCATCAACATAATGGAATGAGGCTTTATAATGCTACTGAAAAATGCCCTCCTTTAAGAGCCAAACAAATATATGTGAGGTAAATGTGGCAACATAACAGATTAACTGCTCTGTGCACAGTGATCTGATCTACACACTGAATTCAAATATGTTTTGAGTAAAATGTAAGTCTTTGAAGCAGGTAAACTACAGTAAACTTCTCAATCACTAGGCTTCCTAAGAACCCAAGCTCCTTTCATAGAAGTTGTTTGGTTGGTTTTACTTTATTGTTACGAGTTTTCACCAATTAAAATCTAACACTTCCTCAGAGGACAATGTGCTGCTGCCCATGTGACCAGAGCCTTCCCTGAAGATGACCTCCTCCTGGCTCTTGTGGAACTTGCTGAATCCCCAGAGAAGCCCAGTTAGAGCAAAGTTAGAGCCAAACGAGGGAATGGTGCTTACATAAGTGAAGGCAATAACTCCCTTTCTGCTCATTTGATCCATTTCTAAGCCCAGGATTAAGAAAGATATGTCTGTGTTTAAATTATGTACCGGCAAAAATAGACACCCTTAATAATGACCATAGGCATTTCTGGATGGAGTTACTTCCAAGGGTGATGAACTCAGTGGTGCTTTCACCATCTGCCACTTTAGGAAGCACTTTGCTGAGTTCTTCCTTCACCAAGTATTAAAAAAGCAGACTATTCCATCTGGAAAAGGCTCAAATTGGGACTTTCTCATATATTTTTATCTTAAAAACAAAGAAAAATGAAGAGACTAAATACAATTGCATTCCATGGCAACAAAAAGAGGTGATGAGCTAATGTGACTTTTACCCTGATGACTCTCATGACGCCTTCAATGGCTGCAAAGATCAAGTAAAGCAGTCCCAGTCCAATCACCCGATGCATAACTGTTCCTAACCGAGGCCTGGGGTAAGCAAGAGGGATGGGGGGGAGAGAGAAAGCATTGGTAAGTAGAGTAAATCTGAACACAGAATTCACAGAATCAATACATAGGGGGCACTATTTAGTTATGTGGATGTGCTTAGAACTCTACATTCTCTTTCAAGGACACAGTTGCGAGTCCAGGAACACCAAGTCTTCCTTTTAGGACCTGAAGCTGTGCAGCTGCCAGAGGGTTTCAAGTTCAAGCAACAGGATGAACACAACCAAGTACTACTAAGAATGGAGGCGCAGGCTGGTGAGTCTAGGTAGGGATGCTATGCCAATTTCTAGGGGCTGCTGACAGCGATTGTAACTTCTATTAACATTAACCACAAACCACGTGGAGCACTATCTTGGAGGAGCCCGCTGATCTTGTGACTGGATACAGAGCAGAGTATGAGCATAAGGAACCCCAGTGCCCTCCCTGTCTTTCCTGCCTCTCACCCCAGAGCAGGAGTGATAACATAATTTGGTTTTTAATCTTTCAACTTAAAAGTTAAAATATTTTGATTATTTTTTGTTTGTTTGTTTGTTTGTTTTGTTTTTCGAGACAGGGTTTCTCTGTATTGTTTTGGAGGCTGTCCTGGAACTCACTCTGTAGACCAGGCTGGCCTCAAACTCACAGAGATCCACCTGCCTCTGCCTCCCGAGTGCTGGGATTAAAGGCATGCGCCACCAACGCCCGGCAATATTTTGATTCTTAAAGCATAAATGAGTAGGGTAAAATGTATTTTCTTTTCCAATTAATAATATGAATATACTTGATGGGATCTACAAATCAGAATTGATTGTACATGCATTTTGCAATGCTTTAAAACCCTATTCTCAGAGTAATTAGAAGGAAAAAAATGACCTTGAAAACATATCTAAGGCAGTCATGTTAAAACAAAACTTAAGGCGAAGAGCTAAGTGTCAGGTGTAGAGAAGGGGACCCAGGTGGTGGCCTCCTTCAGGTAATAGGCAAGAAAGGGCTTGGAATGCAGCCCAACCTCACGTTGTGCTGGAGATCATTTGGACTCCATCTCTTGAGAGCTGGGACTACAGGTGTTGACAGACCTAGATGTGACCTAACAAATCTACTCTAAGATACTTACTCAAGAAAAAATAAGAAAGCCTAAAAGCTCATGTCAGTGATCATGACAGATTTACCATTATTGCCAAGAGTTAGGGAGGAAAAGTTTTACCAGCTAGTAATAGCCCAACACCTTTAGGGAGCATCCTCATTACCCTGAGTAAGTTATATATAACAGAACCCTTCAGGAAACACACTTGATGGAAAAAAAAAAAAACCCTGTGTATCCCTTTAAGATAAAAACATAAGCTGCTTACCTTCCTGCCTTTCAGGAGGGAAAGAACTGGGCAGAACTATGTGTGGATAATGATCCCCTACTAGAAAGCCAACAAAAGCAGGCCGGCTCTTGGTACGATCGAGAGCTGAGCAACTTGACTAATCCCTACTCTAGTGTTGTCTATCTATACCAGCCACATTGGAAATAAAATAGGGTTAAAAAAATTACTAAAGTGATCAGAACTCCAAGACATCTGTGAGCTAAATTAGCCAATGGTACATGAGAAATTGGGGCTTAAATGGAAGTAAACTATCTTAGTCCTTATGGTGGTCAGAACCCCTTACACCAGAGGGAATGGCAGATCAGAAGTACAACAGTTAAGAAGGAAGGTCTGTAATTCAGAGACATAGCTGGGTTTCCGTGTTTGCATCTGGGCTTAGATGGCAGTTTCTTTTTCTTTTTTTTTTTAAATAATTTACTTATTTATTTCATGTGCATTTGTGTCTTACCTGCATGTATATCTGTGTAAAGGTGTTGCAACCCCTGAAACTGGAGTTACAGGCAATTATGAGCTGCCATGTTGGTGCTGGGAACTGAACCTGGGTCCTCTGGAAGAGCAGCCAGTGCTCTTAACTACTGAGCCACCTCTGTAGCCCCTAGACAGCAGTTTCTAACAGAGTCTCTATTGCCCTTGTGAATGAAACACCAGACACAGCAACGTTACCTCTGTCTGGATCCCAGAGTCAACTGAACCCAACTCCATCGTTTGTTTTTATTTCACTCTTGTCAACTCTTGAGGAAGGGCCTGGGAGCCTGATATCGTGGCACTAACTGTGCTCCCAAATACAATGAGAATAAACAAGAAAGCATAAGGAATGCAGAACCTTGAAGCCATACCCTTAGTATCGGTTTTCTACTTCTGCCTTTGCTATGGACACTTCAGAGCTCCTAGATTCCTCCTAGTGTTTTTTATTTGCTGATGTCAGACTGCTTAAGCGATAAGGTATAGTGGCACATGCTTATAACCTCAACACTCTGGGAGGCTCAGGCCACCTTGGACTACTGGGATTCAATTCAGGATCTTCATTTGGAGATAATATAAAATGGCTAGTCCGTGCAAGTGTTTTTGTTTTATTTTGTTTTTATTGAGAGAGGGTTTCTCTGTATAGCTTTGTAGACCAGGCTGGCCTCAAACTCAGAGAGTTTTTTAAACCCACGCTCTTATAGGGTTTTCCCTTGGGGATTCAAGTTGGGACACGAGCATGTCCTGAGTTCCACAGAGGCCATGTGTGCATGGACTAAAACACTAGACTGGAGAGTCAAGTTGTTCAATGCAGCAATACTTACTTCACAATGCCATAACCCAAGCTCACAATGATCACAAGCAGGCGAGCCAATGTCCTCTTAACTGCAGATATCAGTTCCGCAAATATCAATAAACCTTGGGCTGAGGAGCAAGGAAAGAAAACAATTCATTATGTATACTCTTGGAGACCTTATAAGACTCTAAAAAATTACCATGTGCAATGCAATGACACTGTCCCCAGAGTAATTAGCCACATGTGACTTACAAGCCATTTAATCCAACTGATATTTCAGGCCTCAGTGAAGGCAGTACTACCTCCTGAAGACTCACCTTAAGTCTGATCAGCTCTATTAGGCAGTTTTCTTCTTCTTCTTCTTCTTCTTCTTTTTTTTTTTTTTTTTTTGAGATAGAGTTTCTCTGTGGCCTTGGCTATCCTAGAACTCATTCTATAGACCAGGCTGGCCTTGAACCCACAGAAATTCACCTGCCTCTGCCTCCTTGAGTGCTGGGATTAAAGGTATGTGCTACCACTGCCCAGAGTAGGCAGTTTTCTTATGTCAACCTGAAACCTACCAGAGCTCCCCTCCACCTACATCCCTCTTCAAGTCCAGCAAACATTTGAAAGCTATCATGCTCTCTGGAATTCTCTTTTCTCCATGTGTCTTCATCATTTATTCATTTAAAATATATATTTATAGCAGTAAAGTGCTAGCCTAGGATGTGCAAGGCCTTGGGTTCAAACCCTAACATCACAAAAAGAAATGGAGGTATTCACTGTACTTCTACTGTATGACTGTAATGATAAAAGAGTCATCTTGATCCCTCTCTGCATAGATTTTTGAACTCAAGTTAGGCCATGTAAGCAGACACAACTCAGCATGAGGAGTGCTATCTGTGATACAGTAACCCTGGGACTAGGAGCAACCTAATACATAATACACACTTGGGAGAGGTATAATTGGTCTGGAAAACTCACAAAAGGTGAATAAATGAGACTTGAAGAGTAAGTGGACATATAATGGGGAAGGAAGCATGAAGATGGGAAAAGCATAGTATGTGTGCAGCAGAATGTAACATCAGATGCCAAGAAAAGACAGGATAGAGGCCAGGACCACTCATGGCTCTGGGGACTCGGTCATGGAGTCTAGACTTATTGCTGAAAGCAGTGGGAAGTTAACAGTAAAAAGAGGTGGGTGGGAGAGAGGTCAGGGCCAGGACCACGCAGGCCTCTGGGGACTGTTATGAAGTCTAGACTTAATGCTAAAGGCAATGGGAAGTCTACAGTAAACAGAGAAGGGGTGGATGGGATAGAGGCCAGGACCACTCATGGCTCTGGGGACTGTTATGGAGTCTAGACTTAACGCTGAAGGCAGTGGGAAGTCCTACAACGATAAATACAGAAAAGGAATTGGTAAACTAAAACCCAGGGGCTAAATCTGGCCTTGCACATTTATGTAAATCAAGTTTTATCATAACACAGACATGCTTATTTGTTTATTGCTGTCTGTGGATGCTTTCCATAATGGCAGAGCTGAGTGATTACAGCAGAGACCATGTGGTTTGCAAAATCAAAAATATCTAGTATATGGCCTTTACAGACTGTTCAAACATACTGACAGTGACTCACAGTTTGACAACCCCTCTGGTGACACCTGCGATGAAGGACTTGGATTCCCTGATGGTTGCAAACGGCACTTCATCTCTTCGTGGATCTCTGGCTTTTGCTGTTCTTCAGTTCATACCACCCTTGCTCTCTCTAGGTAAGAGATCCTTACCAGAAGAGAGAGGGAATGAACTGCCTTCTCTGACACTCAGTCAGGTTTCAACCCTTATCATGGAATACTACCCCTAACCTACCCCTGACAGTGCTTAGGAAGGAATCCAGGGCCTATGTATGTAGGCAAGTTATCTACCACTGGGATACACCCCCAGCACTATTTGACTCAGAGCACATATGCAAACATCTGTGTGCATGTACACTAGCAAATATACAGCAGGAGCAGCTCTACGATGCAGACCTCCATGTTGGACCTTTGTTGACAGTCTTTCGCAGATATGCTTTTAGTCTTTCTATTTTGATGAATTTCCAACATTCCTCAAAAGAAATTAGTGTAACAACTTTATATGAACCCATCACTCAGCTTCAACAAACAGCAACTTGAGACCAAAGTGGTTTCAGATGTATTTCAACTCAGCTCCTTTTTCCTGGAGTTGGGAGAGCATCACTATATCCGTTAATGATCTATACCAAGATCATTTGTGACTGTACTCAAAAGGTCATTTTTACCCCTTTGAAATCCTCTCCCTTTCCACAGTGTTAGTGGTAAGAACGAACCTTCAATTTTCTTTTCTTTTCTTTTCTTTTTTTTTTTTTTTTTTTTTTTTTTGGTTTTTTTCAAGACAGGGTTTCTCTGTATTGTTTTGGGGCCTGTCCTGGAACTCGCTCAGTAGACCAGGCTTGGTCTCGAAGTCACAGAGTTCCACCTGCCCCTGCCTTCCAAGTGCTGGGATTAAAGGCGTGCGCCATCACCGCCTGGCTCGAACCTTCACTTTTCTAGCCTGTTTGAATCTATCTTCTACAAGCCTGAAGCACACATCTGAAATGTGAACCTGTATCCTTCCCAGTGTCAGACTTCCCACTGTGCAAACCATGCCAATGCCTCCTTTAATCATACACAGGCGTGTGAGGAGGAGAGCTCAGACTACATACAGTAGCACACAGTTCGGTGCTACTCATTTTACTCTCTTCTTTTTCAAGGGAAGAGAAAAAATATTGTAGAAGGAAAAATTCCAAAAGCATTGGCCACACCTAAGGTACCCTTACCCATGTCTTGTATTATTTTAATACCATTAGAGAATGGGAATTTCCTTTTTCTAGAAACAAAAGTGAAGGGGAAATTAGCAGAAAGAAAGCAAATGAAAAAACACTAGGTGATTAGGGCCCTACTCTAACATTCTCACTTTTGTGTAGGGGTGGAGTGTGCACATGCCTATAGATTCCTAGACACCAGAGGACAGAGGACAGTGTCCTGATTTACCACTCTACACTCAATTCCCCACTGTGCCTGCAGCTAGGCTGCTAGCAAGCAAGCTCATGGCTCCCCCAACAGTGCTCGAGTTGAAAGCGCATGTGCAGCCATGTCTGGGTCTGCAGTGAGTACTGGAATTCCACCTCGGGTCCTCATGCTTTCTTAATAAGAGCTTTACGAACTGAGCCATCTCCCCAGCCTCCTGACATTCTCACGTTGGCTTCCATCCTCGCATATATATATATATATATATATATATATATATATATATATATATATATACACACACACTCACACACACATATTTATACGTATAAAAGGGGCCCCTCTGCAGCTCTAGTTACACGAGCTAAAATACACTACACATAACTCATGGAAATAGTCAAAACTTACTTGATAGTCCAGTGCTATTGATGTTTTGGTATTCACTATAAAAAACTGCTTTTTCAAGCATTCCTAGGAAAATAACAGCTGCAATCCAGAACTGGATTCTTAATATATCTTTCCAGTAACAGGCGGACCACATCAGCCAGAGGACACCATACAGTATGTAAACAATACACATCACCATGTAGAACTGCAGGGAGAGAAACAGTGTTTAGCCTCCGACCCTCTAACTTGAGAGCTGACATCTCAGGAAACTCACCCACCCTTCATTTCCCCATCACTCTGGAAGCAGCAATAGAGGGCTTGTCAGAGCATATCTACAGAGAAGTTACACTACTGAATTCAAATTCATTTGGAAAAAAGGATGAGACATACTCACAATCATTAGAGGCCAGTCTGATGCAGAGATGTATCCATGAGGCCCCACCATAGAAAGAGAAACTAGTGACAACAGGAGGGAGGGAGAAGAATAATCAGGGTTTTGGTTTTGTTGTTTTGTTTTGTACTTTAGGTTTCTCAAGAAAAGGTTTCTCTGTGTAACCTAGCCATTCTGGAACTCACTCTGTAAACCAGGCTGACCTTGAACTCACAGAGATCCACCTGCCTCTGCCTCCTGAGTACTGGGATTAAAGGCATGCACTACCATGCCTGGAAATAATCAAGTTTTTAAAAACATTTTATAAGCTCATTTCTCCCTACTAACTAAAAAAGTTTATTAGTATTAAGCATCTTCAAAACAGATGTATGACTAACAAATCCATGTTTGAAAGACATGTTTTAAACAGACAATACAGATTCATATTAATGACAAAAACTATAGGGTAGGGGTTAACTATACCATTCAAATCCCAGACTGCATCTGTTTTTTCTGTTTTAATAGAAACGACGAAGATATGGAAGCCATCTTTTTGGGTCCTGGCTACAACATCCTGCAATAGAGAGAATAAGTCTTTGTTCTTTAAAACAGATTATTATATGAGATAAAATTAAACAGTTAACACTTTTAAACAATTTTAATAACTGAACAGATGAAACAGAGGGAAGGAATGGCAGGCAGTGGAAGGAAAAACACTGCTGCAAAATTTTTTCTTACCCTACACCCCCATACATAGGAGAGAACAAATGGTTCTCATCCTCACTATCTTCCACTACTAATACTGCTACAGGTCCCCCTAAATCCTCATTCCATGTTTTCTTTAACATTATCATTCAAATATTTTTCCTGGGTTGGTCTTGGTGGCACATGCCTTTATCCTACTACTTAGGAGGCAGCGGCAAGTAGATCTCTGTGGGTTTAAGGTCAGGTTGGTCTATATAAAGTTTCCGGCTATCTAGGACTACAGAGTGAAACCCTGTCTTAAAAGAAAAAAAAAAATTAATATTGGAATTGTCACATTCCATCCAAATATTACCAAGCACTCAATTTTGGTGGAATGTTGTTTTTTAAAAATTGAGTTGAGAGAGAAGTGAGATAATGTAAAAAATAAGTCAGACTAGTCAGAGAGCTTGAGTCTGAGGCCAGTCTGGGCAGCAGTAAGACCATGCCAAAAACAAACTGAAACAACAGAATTAATTGTTCCTGTCTCCATGAAGGATATGTCCCAGCACCATCCCCAATAGGTACTAAAATCCTTGAATGCGCAAGTCCTTCATATAAAATGCCATGGGATTTGCATAGTCTACACACATCTTCCTGAATACTTAGAATCATCTCTAGATTACTTCTAATACTTAATAGAATGTAAATGCTACGCAAACAGTTGTTATAGCGGATTGTCTAGGGAGTGCCATGAAAATGTCTATAAAATCAACACGGGACAGTCTACACCTACACCTGTGGGTACTTTCTTCCTTCCATTTCTTACTCCTCCACATAAGATAGCTTGTGCTGAGAGTCTGTCCTTGCCACTACAGTGAAAAATCTTCCTATTAGATTTCTCTTTGGAATGGCTGAGGAAATGTGAAGTCAGTATATAAAAGCTAAATTTAAGCTCTCCTATGTCCAATTCAGTACCTACTCCTCCTGACCCTCTGTACTTCCTACTCAGCCTCTGCCTCTTAGTGATTCCCCCAAATGCCACAATTTCCCCCCTGCTGTGCTACACTCCTGTTGCTCATTGTACTATGACATAGCAGACAGCAGTCCACAGCTATGCTGTCTTACACCCTGAAACTGGAATTAAAAAAACAAACAAACAAAAAAACTGGCTGCAGAGCTAGTCTTCAAAGAGATTTTTTTTTTTTTTTTTTTGTTTTTACAAGACAGGGTTTCTCTGTATTGTTTTGGAGGCTATCGGTCCAGCCCGGCCTCAAACTCACAGAGATCCGCCTGCCTCTGCCTCCCGAGTGTCAAAGAGATTTTTTTTAAAGCAGAAATAGTATATGCAAAATAGATATCGAACAAAGGAAAATATATTAAAGATTTTTTTCTTTTCCAACTTTAATAATTATCACTCTCCAAGCAGTCATCAGATTGATTTTTCAATTTCACTATAATTTGTACATACTGGATTTAAAGAAAAAGAGTTTACCATTGATCCTTCTTGGCTTGAAACATTTCTGTTGCCTGTTAGCTCTTTATTCTGGAAAAGAGTAAAGTATCATTCTATATTACTACAGATATTAATTCATTCTAAACAATGGACTTAAAGTTTGAATTATCTAATTACAACAATTATCTAATAACAATACATTCTAAATTAATGTATCCCTATGGAGAAAAGTAGTTTTCAATAATTAAGATGAAAGTATTAGAAGAAAACAGCTTTAAAAGTTGAATACCAGAGAACAAGTCTCATTGTACTCTGAACATGAACTAACAAAATTATTTTACAGGGCTGAGAGATGGCTCAGCAGTTAAGAGCATTGACTGCTCTTCCAGGGGACCAGGGTTCAATTCCCAGTACCCACAAGGCAGTTCACAATTGTCTGTATCTCCAGTTCCAGGAGATCTGGCATCTTCTCACATACATGCAGGCAACACACCAATGCACATAAAATAAAAATAAAGCTTTAAAACATGTTACCTTTAAAATAACAAAATTCTTCAGCTTAAAAAATGCTTCCTTAATAGTGTGATTGAAGGTGGAGAGTGGGTAATGTTAGAGAAAGTACAGGAAATAAACAGGAGCTCCAGGTGCTAAAGTTCTGTACCTGGTCCAAGTCTGCAGTTTCTGAAAACCACTGAGGCACAACTGTGTACTTTTCTGTATGTTTGTTTTGCTTCCAAACACATTTAAAAAGAACTTTAAACTACAGGCATTTTCATTTTATAATTTTCAGGGAAAAGTCAATTACAATGGTCCATAACCTCCCTATTTGCATATCTTAGGATTTCTATTGCTGCAGAAAAACTCCATGAACAAAAGCAGCCCCAGGAGGAAGAGCTTAATTCTACAACTCTTCAGGTCATACTCCATCACTGATGAAAGCAGAGACCTGGAGGTGGGACTGAAGCTGAAGCCGTGGAGAACACTTCTTACTGGCTTGCTCAGCGGTTTTCTCATACAACCCAGGACTACCTGCCTGCCCAGCAGTCCTGTGCCACCACCACAATGAACTGGACCCTCCCACATTAATAATTAATCAAGAAAATGCCACCACAGACTTGCCTATAGGCAATCTTATGGGCAATTTCTCAAAGTTTCTCTTCCCAGATAACTCTAACTTGTGTGGAGTTGACCTCCCCACCCTGCAACAAACTCAGGATATCAGGTGTGACTGTTTTATTAACATTTACATCACCACCTGCTGGGAGAGCGAACAGCAATGTTCAGGTTGTTAAATGCTGGTGCAAGGCAAGACCCTTGATAAGGGAGGGTAACAGATCACTGGCCTTGACAGCATAGAGGGTACTGGTAACCTTGACTAGGGTTCATTTGACAGGATACTGGGAACAAAAGTCCAAGAACCACTAAGAAAAGAATGACAGATAAAATGGGAGAGAACAGGCCATGAAAACCTCTTGTAAAGCTGAAAAGAGAACACACTAGAGGCATGGTGGGTGCACATCTTTAATCCCAACAATTTGGAGGCAGAGACAAGTATATTTCTCTGAGTTCAAGGACAGCTTCCTCTACAAAGAGAGTTCCAGACATCCTGAGACTGTCTCCAAAAAAGGAAAGAAAAAAAGAATAAAAAGGAGAGTATACCAATTTCTTTCTTACATCCTAATGCACACATGCAAAAACTAAAACCAAGACTTAAAGACAAGTACCTTCCTTTCTGCAAATACTGACAAAACATTATTCAAGCCTGTTGTCTGTATTCAGGTCAAATAAATTAGCTGATTTTTAACACGGTAAGGCAGATACTCACATTTAATGAGGGAAATGCCTGTAAATCACTGTTGCAATCTAAGTTTTCACTTTTTGTTGTCCAACAGTCAGTGTTCTTGAAATAAGCACAGACGTCCATATCAGCATTAAGTCCATGTTTTTGGGACAGATCCTATCCAAGGTAAAATTCTAGGTTATAATTTACTTCTATACTTTTTTCCTAGAAGAAATAAAATTTCATATTGAAAGAACACTAAAAATTAGTTCAGTTTGGAATATTTGAAAACATGAAATAAAACAAAATACCAAAGAGAAAAAAATATTAACTATGATTCTAAGTATAACTGAGGTGATCATGCCATTTTAGCTATTCCAATGTGTTTGTACCCATTATCAAGTACAATCATGGACTTAGAGATTAAGACACTATTGGGAGGCCATGGGTCCATGATGGGTGCATGACTGTTAACCCCAGACCATGAAGATTGAAGTAGGATAAAAGGCTGGGACACACAGAGAAACTGTTTCAGAAAAAGGAAACGATAGCTGGGAGTAGTGGTGCACATCTTTAATAGCAGTACTGTGGAGATAGGGGCAGGTAGATCTGAGTTCAAAGCCAGCTTAGTTAAGTTCCAGGCCAATCAAGGGTACATAATGAAACCTGCTTCAAGACAAAACAAAAATCAGTATGTTGCCACAAAGAAATACCTTCAGAAAAATAAAGAGTACCCTATTATATTTAATCTTATATGTAAGAAATGTTACAGAGAAAGAGAAGAGCATTTAATTACAAAGAAGTAAAAAGCAAATGGTAAACAAAGCAAAAGCAGCCAATCTAACCCAGCCTTCTGGACAAACAACAGAAGAATGAGCTAAGTCACTGAAAGAAGCACCCAGTCTTCCAAGAATTGCCTCTCACACACCAAATACAGGACAACTGGAGCAGAGCAAATAAAAAGATTGTCTTTGGGATGCACAGGGACACTCTGTCTCAAAAAAACAAAACAAAACAAAAAACAAAAACAATAGCTGGGAATAATGGAACACACCTTTAATCCCAGCACTTGAGAGGCAGAATAGGTGGCTCACTGTTAAGTTCGAGGCCAACCTAGTCTACAAAGACAGTTCTGGGACAGCCCAGGACTACATAGAAAGACCTTATCTTGAAAAAACAAAAACATTTAAAAAAAAACAAAACAACAAACTGATCATGTCCTATAACCAAAGTAAAAATGAATGTGTTCATACTGTTGCCTGGGATCAATAGAAAAAATGGAAGAAACAAGGTAGCTCATTCACAAAGGAAAACGCTAAGACACATAAAAGAAAAATGGAAATAATAAAATCATTGTCACGCAATTATTATACTAACTTATTCATAAGGCAAGACTCATAAAAGGCTGCTAAATGAATGGATAGATATTTGATTTAAAAAAACAGGACATTTATATAGCTATAAAAATTCTGTCCCACACACCAACAAAAAGTAGTAACTGTATAGTGGAGGGATCGACAACTACTTCCTCTGCCCACCAAGTTAACATCACCAAACAAAGAACAACTCGATATTGTGTGGGTTATCTGCTAGAAGTACCTACCTGGAATCGGATCATGAAGAAGCAGAGCTAGTCAAATTGAGGAATATTTTGCTCTAATAAAATGGACTAATAAACCCAACATGAATTAATCAGGACAGAAGCCAAACATATAATGGAGAGGCTTTCTAAACAATGGTCATGAGACTCATCAAAGAGCCCCTCCCATCCAGGAGAGGAGATACCCGCGTTGGCACAGCCTCTTTCTTCCTCTCTATCCTTCCTCAGAAGTCTCCACTCTCCTCAGAAACTGAATTCACACAATCTACTTGCCCTCCTAAGGCTCTGGGTTCCCAGCAACTCATTGTCTGAATGATGTGAAAGTTCAATTTCCTTCGCAAACTACGTTGACTTATCACAGCCCTTTATTAATGGCTGCTACAAGTCTGTTTAAACATTTTTTTATGATACCTCAAAAGGAGATTACAAAACTTAGTTTTGTCAAGAAGCACAAACTTTTTATTATCGTAAGTCCCCAAACCAATTTGGAGTATTTCTAAAATTGTGAGCTCTACTTCTAATCTACTTACTTAGTGTATTAATAAATCTTTTTATGTATAATTTTTCCTCCACAGTTTTGTATGCATTAAAGACGTGTTTTCACTTACCTCCTCCAGCGAAGCATATTCATTGTGACAGGTATGATACTTCAAATGCCACTCTATGGTAAACTTCACAGGTCCGGAACAACTGAACGACTTCACTGTTGAGACAGTTTTATTGTATTCTAGTATGAACTTCAGACTTCAAGAATACTGTCTGAAACTGGCTGTTTTAATGGTAACATGAGTAAAACATAACCTAATTTCTCTAAATCGCTGCAAAATGATAAGGATAAATTCACTGAATTTTAACAGCTGGCCAGAACTTCCTACAACTATTCAAATTTAAGTTCAATGTTGTAATCAACTAAGCATCCTGGCTTGCTCAGCTATGGCTTCTCTAGGTCTAACATATTCTCTCTCTCTCTCTCTCTCTCTCTCTCACCCACCTACCCACCCACCCATCCAAACCATGTTGAATTCCTTGTTGTGTACTAGGAAAGGTCAGCAGCTAATAGGAACTAAATTTATGAACTAAAGTGCTGTGAGAGTTAACAAGTGGGCGCTCTGAGAAGCCCAAGAGGCTGAGAACAGGGTGTCAAGGGCACTGGCCACCTGACATGATGTAGGGCTAAGTCACGTTACCTGGAGGAAGAAAAGCAGGAGCTAGTCAAACGAAGAGAAGGGTAAAGAGATGCACTCAAGCCTAGTCTAAGTGTGAGCCCAGAGCAAGAATGGCTGCCTAGATATGGTTCAAATAGACCAGGCAGTATGGCCTTTAGTTTGAATATCAAAAGCACCTCCAATGCTTAAAGACCTAGGTGATGTGATTAAGACTGAAAAGGGTTAGGTATAAAGCCAGAGAAAGCTCTTGTCGGGAGTGTCTATGCCACTACAGCTGGCTTCCCCAGAGCTAGGGATCAGGAAAGGGCAGAGAAGCCACAATATCTTTTCATAACATAGCCTTGGATTTTAAGAGCAACTTTGTAGAATGTGGTGGATGATGAGAACCAGAGGATCACCTTAAAGGATGGTAGCCCACATAGAGCCCGCAGATAAGGCTGACAGAATTTTAGAAAAAAGTCATTTCTTGCAAATAACTAAGCCTAGAATAAACAAAATTCTACAATGTTAGAATTATTTAAAAACAAAACATTCGCCGGGCAGTGGCGGCACACGCCTTTAATCCCAGCACTTGGGAGGCAGAGGCAGGCAGATCTTTGTGAGTTCAAGACCAGCCTGGTCTACAAGAGCTAGTTCCAGGACAGGTTCCAAAGCAATACAGAGAAACCCTATCTCTAAAAACAAAGCAAAACAAAACAAAACAAAAAACCCAAAAACCAAAACTTCAGTATTGTAGACTATTATTTTAACTAGGCAAAGACTGTTACATTTGTTCATGCTGCAGAATATTACTTTAGCTGTGTAAAGGTGTGTTACTTTTGCTTGTGCTGCATTTGTTTAATTATGTAAAAATGTGCAGTATTTGTTTCACCTTGCCTGTCCAAGGCACCTGATTGGTCTGATTAAGAGCTAAACCACCAGCTAGGCAGGAGAAAGGATAGGCAGGGCTGGCGGGCAAAGAGAATAAACAGGAAAGGTCTAGATTTGAGAGAGAAAAAAGAACACGGAAGGAAGAGAGAATAAGGGTCATGCCTGGGGCAAGGAGCCAGATTAGAATAGAGAGTCAGTGAAAGTAAGATATACAGAAGTAAGAAAGATAGCAAACCCTTAGGCAAAAGGTAAAGAGAAACAGTATAATATAAGTTAAAAGAGTTAGCCAGAAATGTGCCAAAGTTAGGCCAAGCATTCAAAGCTAATAAGTGTCTGTCATGATTTGGGAGCTGATTGGTGGCTTAAAAGAAAAAGTCAGGTACAATTCAGCTTAATGTATCTTACATTAGTTTATGTTAATGTATTCATTTATAATATATCAAAATTGTATATTAATATACTTACCAGAAAACTTGATCTCAGTAGAGTTAAACATAGTTTTCCTAAATATCAAAAGTCCTGATTTCTAAAGTGAAAAACAAATACAGAAAAAAAATCTTAGTTAAAGTTTTCTTTATTGTTTAAACACAGCTTTATCTTCTAAATACAGAACGCTAGTCCTTGTGACACCATCTAATCAGAGTGATTATATTTTAAAGCTTCCACACCTAGCCTTCAAATCAAGACATTTTAAAAATGTAAAACTGGGGTGAGAGAGATGGCTGGGTGGTTAAGAATGCCTGCTGTTCTTGTAGAGGACTGGAGTTAAGCTCCCAGTACCCACATCACAAGGCTCACAACTGCCTATAACTCCAGCGCCAGGGGATCTGTGCCCTCTTCGAACCTCTACATGTACCTGCATTCATGTGCACATTCTCCCCCACCCCATATACATAATTAAAAATAAATCTTTAAAATGTAAAATTGACCGTATCTCTTGCTGGCTTAAAAAATCTCATTGCTGTGTCAACTCCATAGTTGTTGTAAGAATCAGAAGTAGTGGCCCTGCCTTTGAAGATCATCCTGGGTCACACAGTGAACTTTGGAAAAAACAAAAGACCTCAAAAAGTCGAAACTGGAGCTTGATAATACACAAGACAGAAGGGCTCTGGTCATTATGATCAATGCTGCTTGGACATAATACAAACTGCACATTGCATGCTATTCTCTTGGCATCAAAGTTAAAAGTACTTTCAATAAATAACATCTCTCTCCAAATTGATTTTGTTTACCAGTGTACTTACAGCAGGCCAAAAATCCTGCAGATCCCACACAATCAAAGCCTGCTCACCTCTCCAGCAATGTTTAATTTCTGGAACATTCCTGTTGCTGGGACCTCGGCAGTCAACCTGAAAACTGCAAACCTCTCTCTTGTGCTTTTTCTTCACCTACTTAGCTCCTTCTTACCTCAAGAACCAGCTCAAAATCTCCTTCCCAGCTGGGAGTATGTAGCTAGCGAGCCCATTTAGCATGTTTCCAACCCTTTGCGTGTTCCCCAGTGACCCCATACCTCCTTTATGCAGTCTCTAGTAGCCACTGGGCTTCACAACAATAAATGTGATTAAAGTCAAACAGTTCTTCCCAAGAACAAAAATCCCGCAAGAAGGAACCAAGCTAAACGAAAGAGCAGTAAGGAAGTATAGAGCACTGAAAGGACGGGTCACTCTTTTTGGTAGCCGTTTCCCCTTCCCAACAGTTCCCACAATAATAAAATCAGCAGCCCAGATCCTCCTCTGATCTCTAGATCCATACACTCATGGATATGTTCATCAGGCACATTACACTAACCTGAGTGCACCAGGCACACTCCTCTCTGCTCTCACAGGTCTTACACTGTCTGCTGTGAAGATCAAGCCCACCAGTCACCTAAGCCATCACCCCTGACTTCCACCCAGCACATGCCTATTTACGGAGCCTGCTTCCCATGTTTAGTTCTTCCTCTCTACATCTACAACATGGTTGTCATGCTGCCCCTCAACATTTCTGCTTTGACCTCAACAGTGCTTCTTCTGTCTCCAGACTGAGCCTACAATTTCTCATTAGATGGCAGCCAGAATAATTAGCAGTTCTGCCAAAATCCCTGTAATGGCTCTCTGTTATTCATATCCCAAACAAGCTCCTGATGATCCCAGGGCTTAATCAAACCCCCTGCAGTGATACATTCACCCCTCCCCTCCCACACCAGTAGTACTGACCATGCCCTTTTGGGCATGGTCGCAGGTGTGGGCGTGACCGGTTAAAAGGAAGAGGATTGGAGCTCGGAGGCCCTTTTGGGTAGCAGAGAGCATCTGGGTGGCAGGGTCTGCATCCTTGGGGCAGGAGCTCACAACAGCCATTTGTTTCCTGTGTAAGTTCTTCTCTCCTAATAAGCTCCACTTTACCTTACTGGGCCAAATATCCTGATTTCCATGCCCATAACCCCCAAATGGTGAGTAATTAAAAAAAACACAAAACTTCCAAGTTAGGTAACATAATAAACATACTGTTTCAAGCTTCACTTAAAGGAGTTCTGGCAGTTCTGTGCCTATGAACCACAGCATTTCCTTATTTGGAGTCAAATGGCAGCCGCTCTATATAGCTGGCTTCAAACTTTCCTTCCTGAGGGAAGAGAGCAGCCTAAAGCTCGAGAAGTATACAAGGCTGACAAGGGTCTTCCCTGAAGTTACAGAAGCAGGGAACAGTTGCTGGGGTGGTGTAGCTGCCTGCAAGTTGTATGGTGGCACTTCAGTGACACCGTTCTGAGTTCTTAGCCACGCTAGGGGCACCCTTGTTCCTATGAGAAACCCCAAGGTACTCATCGGTTCACCAAGCTGGACTTCCACAGAGTTGCTGCTTTCATCTGTCATTGTCCTATTACAAACAGTCTCAGAGGGAAAGTCACATAACAGTTACCAATTTCAAGAGACAAGCTGTCCAAACTCAGCTTACTTCAGACATGATCTGTCTCAGCCCTGCAGGTCCTGGAGTTTTAAGACTGAAGTATAATGAGGGAGGCCTTTGGTGACTTAAGCCCCCACCTTCCAGAACTTCATTCAACATAAACACCAAGAATTTCCCACACTGCTGTTGTCTCACGCCTTCCCTTACGAAGAAGATACCTCTTCATTTTCCCAGACAAGCTACAATCTCCACAAATCAGGGTAGGCTGGCTCCAACAGTACTTGAATACTAATATCCCAAGAATGCTATGGTATACTAGGTATCTACTCATAAATATTGTGTTAGCTCCTGGAGATGAGAAAACATCCTATCTAAAAGTCATCTTTGCAAGAGTAATGACCAGTTTAGTACATGGCATACAATGGTGCTCGTTATTTAATGATTTTTTAATATCTAAAAGAGCCTTCTTTTTCTTTTGATGAATTCACAAGACAAATGAGAGCCGCATTCTCTCTGTTCTAAAAGACAAATTCTGACAAGAGCTACATAGGAAATAAATTCAGCCTGACCACAGCACATGACAGTCAAAAAAAGAACTTCTCTGCGTATCAAAGGACCCTGCCATTCTTCCCTGTGGGACTCTTACTATCCAAAGTATGCCTGGCAAAGATCTTTGCAGACATGCTCAGTGGAGTAAAGGTTTGCACGCAGTTAATTCCCTTGCAGCGTTTTTACCTGGAGTTTACAAACACTGGCTTACTCACATTCACTAAAGAGGCAGTGGGAAACTGAAGTGTGCTTTCACAAATGTTGCTTTCTATTGATGAGACTTACCCCATCGCTGGTAAGTCTATAATACAGGGAACCGACTCAGAACCATCTTTAAAAAAATGCTACCAAGCCAGGATACAGAAACAAGCCTAGCTTTGATCCTCTGGAGTTTTGTGTTTGGAAGCATGTGCAGCTTCTGATTTTACTTTTGGCTGCAGAAATATAAATGTAAATTTCACCTTTAAAAGTTGGACGTCTTTTCATTGCACCCCAAGCAGATTTGGATGAGTCATCTGACTCCAGAGAAATTCTAGAGACAATGCCACTTCCTGAGATCCCTATCTCTTTTGCAAGACTTTCCATAATTCTGCCCCTGCATTTCCCCCGTATCTTTTAACCACACAGAACGTCAAGTTCGCTAATGGCCTGCCGAGTTAAATTTTCATCCACCCAAGCCTCCAGACTCGCCTTTTAAACACTCCTAAACACACACCTTGCCCCGCCTACATACGTATAAGTCCCTGAACTGTGATAGGAGCGCCAAAGAATATATAGGAGCCCAAGTAAACAAAATAGAGGCGAGGCGACTGTATGCATGACCATAGAGCATATTAAATGTACACTCTAACAGACGGGCTAGACAAACCTCTCTGGGGCCTTAAGCAGTAATCTAGCCGAAAGAACAGTCCCAACGATGCCGCTGGGAATGCAGAGACTGCAGAGACTGAGGGCTCTGATCTGAACAAATAAAGGCATGATCTAGACACACCGTGTCAGAGCACAGTGAGAGTCCAGGAAGAAGGGTGCGGGGAGCCTCGCGAACAGCAAGAGCGTCTGCAAGGGGGAGCCTGCCTACGGACAACTGGGATCGCTCTTCCCTGGAGCCCACGTCCGGCAGAGGAGGGGACGCTCCTTTCCTAGAGCCCAGTCCAGACAAAAGGCTCAGCAAGCCTGTCATTGGACCCACTGCTGGCCCGACAGAGCTCTACGAACAAGCCCAAGGCCAGACCGGTGCGCGGGCGGAGCGACCCTGCCGGGGGCCCTGAGAAACTGAGAAGCGCCACGCCTCAGTCCCCAGCATACTTACGTCATTGACGGTCCTCGTCCAAAGCCCGAGCTCAGGGACAGCGTCGACAGTCGCCGGGGCCCAGCACAGGAGGCACAGGGCCACGCGCAGCAGCTGGGCCGGGGCAGGCAGGCGGCATAGGAGGCCGGGAGGGAGCCAAGCTGAAGAGCGACAGGCGGCAGCCATCTTGACGCGGAAGCCGCACCTGCGCTCCCGGAACCGGCCACGCCCCGGGGCCGCACCTGGCGCGGTTCCGCCCCTAAGGGGGCGGGCCCGCTGCGGGCGGGGAAATCAAGCTTGAGCAGGAGGGCAGAGGGCGTCTTGGGCACAGGCGAGGAGGAGCGGTGAGAGTCTGGGAATCAGGGCAGAACCTGGAGGTGGTTTCATGGACAGGCCTGGGGAAAACCGAGGAAGCGAGGAGGGGAGTGATGAGAGTGGGAAGAAGGACCCGCTGGCCCAGGAAGGAGGCGGGGCTGAGGCGGTGAGGCCAGGAAGGAGGCGGGGCAAGAGTCTAATTAGGGAGGGTTTATGGACGCGGGGCGTGGTAAGGAGACGTGGCCTTCCCGGGAAGTTGGGGAAAGGCAGGACTGCAACCAGATTAAAGGGCCGGGTGGGCGGAACTATAAACTGTTTGAAGGGGAAGCTTGGGTGTGGGTAGGTGGAGGCGGGGAAAGGGGCAGGGAGAGGAGGCTAGAAAGGAAAGACCTAGTCTGGAGGATAATGGGGCTCTCTATTTAGGAGTTGGCAGAAATGAAGATCACAGCATTTGGAGCTTCTTGGAAATTCAAAACCAACCTAAGCTACATAGCAAGCTTGAGACCAGCGTGAACTACATGAGACCTTGTCTAAAAGCAAAACAAAACAACAGACCGTTCGTTAAATAACCACCCAGATGAGCTCTAAAGGGGAAAAAAAAATCGTTTCTAAAGCAATAGTCAGATCTCACCAGTAGGTGGCACTAGTAAATTGATAATGTTTTATATAAACGTAATCTTCCCTTGTGGTCTTTCTAGCCCCGATTAGATAACAGTTGCTATCTTCAGTAGGAGTTGCTGTCCATATTTCTAATTTACTTACTTTTAGTTAACTAATTATTTTTCGAGCACATTTACGTTTACAGCGAAATAGGGAGAAATGTATTTCTAGAGAGTTATTAGAACTCTGGTCCCCCCAGCAGCCCCCCACCTAAAGCAACATCCCACTCTACAAGAAGTGCCTTTAATAGAGATCATTAAGTTACTAATCATTTCAGAACACCTTTGTTTTACTGCTTATCAAGTATCACACAGTGGTACTGATTTGGAGTACTACACTCGGCAGGGATTATTTTACATTATTAATGAGCAAATGGAGTATCCAGACGGTCCAGAGACTTAAGGTACTTGCTGCCAGGCTGGGACTACCTGAAGTCTATCCCTGGAACCCACATGGTGTAGGAAGAGAACAGGCTCTGACATGTTCTTTGACTTCTACATGATCCTCACTCGACACAAAAATAAATAAAATGCTTAATGGAGTAATTACTTTTGTTAATTAGATGTTTCTTATTCTAGGATAATTTCATTTCCAAGGAAGAGTAGTGGTAACACTGATTCTTTAAGTAAGTCAGACTGCATTTGTTACCTCCTGCATCCAAAGCATTCTACCTGGATAAGACTGATAAAACCTAGCCCACAGCAAAGAGCCATCAGCAGGCAGTGCTGTAGCATTTGCTCAGTGTACCCTGCCCTGGTTGGAGCCCCAGCACTACAGACAGAGCTGATAGAACAGGAGAAACTGGTCACATCCTCAAGTGTCTGGAGACATGACTCAGAGGTGAGAGCTCTGGCTGCTCTTGCAGAGGACCAGGGTTCTAGTCCCAGCACTGGCATGGCTGCTCACAGTCTTTGTCAGCTCCAGTTCCAGGGGGTCTGCTGTCTTCTTCTGACCTTCCTGGGCACCAGGCACCCACGAGGTCCACACTCATACACACAGGCAAAATATAGAAACATGTAAATAAAATAGATAGGTCTAAATAATTTTAAAAGTCTATAAGTAACTTTTTAAAAATCCTTATATTTTAGAGATTTCTTTGATTTAGATGTTTCTAGTAGTAATTTCTGGGGCAAAGACTCCATGTTCATTAGGAAAGGAACGTATATGCCAATAGGTTAGCCTTATGGGGCAGATATTATGTCCTGAAATTCATTTATTACACTTCTAATCTCTAGTTCATCAAATGTGAGTATTTGAAGAAAGAGGTAATTAAAGTAAAACGAGGTTGCAGAAGGAACTCAGGACACATTCAGAGCCTGGGGAGGACACTGTACACCTAAGGAACAGTGACAAGCCCAAGACAGGGTCAGCCCCAGACAGGGGCAGTCAGAAGAATCTAGCTGTGTCAGCAACTTTATCCTGGACTTTCAGCCTCCACAGCCATGGAGAGATCATTGCTGTTGTCTGAGCCGCCCAGCCTTCTGCTGCTTTGTTTTGTCAATCTTAACAAGTCAATGCAGACAGTGAGCAAATGTGACAGGAATGGAATGTGAACAATAAAAGCAAGATAATTATCCAGTCAGCTACCACGGTGGCAAATGGCATGTAATCTCGGAGACGTTGGAAACGTGTCCCTGAGCAATGTCCCCGAGTCACCTCACCAGGAAGCTGGATTGCGCCTGTAGATGGTTCCGGCTTAGGATAGACTCAGAGTTTTTCAACTTTAGGATATTACAGAAGCCGCATACACTGGGTTTTCAATTTTGATCTGTCCATGCCTGGAGATGTGTGGTGTGCTCTTTGGTGGTCCTGGGCTGTCCGAAGTGAACTAACAAAATGGAAGAAGCCCTGTAGTGTGCTAAGCTGCTAAGCTTGGCTGCTTGTAGGCCAGATATATTAAATGCCTCTTTCTTCTTTATTGAGACAAGGTCTCACCATATACCCCAGTCCTTAAACTCAGGATCCCCTGCCTCTACTTCCTAGTGCTAGAACCACAGGATTATACCATCATACCCAGCTGCTTCCCACCCCCTTTCTCTTTCTCTGCTTTATAGAGGAAATAATTTTATTTATTGGCATAGAATAAAATGTAAAAATTGACATTGAATACATATATACAATGTATTGTGAATATAATTACCCCCATCACGCTCTGTTGTCTCCTTTCCTTTCCCTCTAAACCTCTTTTTTTCCCAACTAGTCTTCTCAGATTGAACCCTTCAGTGGATAGAGGAGATACCCATGATGTGCTGCCCCTTCTTGAGAAGTTGTGGACTGCTAATGCTTGCCTGCCTGCCTGCCTCCCTCCCTCTCTCCCTCTCTCCCCCCCTTCCTTCCTTCATTCCTTTCTTCCTTACTTTTTGTAACTTTAACTCTCCTGGAACTCACTCTGTAGACCAGGCTGGCCTCGAACTCACAGAGACCCACCTTCCTCTGCCTCTCAAGTGCTGGGATTAAAGGTGTGCGCCACCACATCTTGCTCTTTGTTTCTTCTAACTGATAAATAGTGGGCCATAGTTTTATACTCTTGTGAGATGATAGACATGTACCACACTGCCCAACTAGTGGTTACAGATGTGCATGTTTGACTCGGGATGCTTTCTACTTATGATGGCTGTATTAAAGCATAATCCCTTGAAGGGTCATGGAGCAGGGGTATTTACCTCTATTCATACTTGTAGTATGGCCATCCCTGGGAGGGCAATTTAAGTCCTGTGAGCAAGGCAAAATAGCTTTTCCAAACACTGAAGAAAGCAAAGAAAGAAAACAGGAAGTCAGCTTAGACAAACTGATGGAAAGAAAAGGAAGACAGCCAAAAGGACCCCTGAAAAAACTCACCCTGAAACTCTCAAAGATGAATCCATGTGGTGTTAGGGATTTGCTTCAAAACAAATACATTTTTTTAAAAAAGAAAGGGCCGCCGGGCGTTGGTGGCGCACGCCTTTAATCCCAGCACTCTGGAGGCACGTCTACTGAGATAATCACACGGGTCGTTTTTTTTTTCTTTATGCTATTACTATTGAAGGGACCAGCTCTGTTTTAGCTAACATGTATTTGCTGACCTTGCCCCTCCTGTCCTACTCACTAGGAGGTCAGATACCCTCGTGGCAAGGAACCAATCAGAAGTTAGCTGGCAGGGCTGTGCTTTACAGCTCTGGGTGTGCTTTACAGACAAGTGCACAACAGTGACATGCAGAGCATAGCAACTGCCCTGGGAGGGCCTATGGGCTATAACAACCAGTTGACCAATCAACACAGGACAGGTCAGCCAAACCTGGAAGCGCACCAATCCTGAGACTGTTGCATAGCCCTAGACACGCCCCTTATGCTGTCCTATAAGATCCTCATCTTGTGGATTCTCAGGGTCTTTCTCCATCCATCTGCCATAGTGAATGGGTGAAAGGCCCGAGCTAATGTGGTTAGCTCATTAAACAACTACAATAAAAGACTCTCTGCTTTTGTATCGAAATGGGTCACTTGGTGATTTTGTGGTTTCAGAATTTGGGCACAACACTATGATTTAATTAATTTATTTTTATAGACTGAGATAAAGTCCATATCTTTTTTTTTGTTGTTGTTGTTGTTTTTTGAGACAGGGTTTCTCTGTGGCTCGGAGTCTGTCCTGGAACTAGCTCTTGTAGACCAGGTGGTCTCGAATTCACAGAGATCTGCTTGCCTCAGCCTCCCAAGTGCTGGGATTAAAGGCGAGCATCACCAATGCCAGGCTAAGTCCATACTTTTTATTGTGGCAAAATACACTCAAGATAAAAGATACCGTTTAGTTGTTTCAAGGACATTGTTCAATCAGAGGCATTCACACTTTCATGAAACTGCCACCACCATCATTCATCTCCAGAACTTTCTCCTTTTCCCCAAATGAAATTCTGTACCCATCAAACACTGACTCTCTGAGTCTGATTACTCTAGTGTTATGCCCAGGTCATGAGACCCCAAGAAAACCGTCAAGGAGCCAACTCACCAATGCAAGCACACAAGGTTTATTGTTAAGCTACAAGCCTCAACAGGGACCCTGCCAGGCAAACTGGCACAGCAGCTGCAGGAAAAGGGTCCCTGGCCTTGATTGCAAGGGGATTATAAAGGAAAAATCACAAGCAGGGTGGTACATGCCTTGGCTGTTCAGGATTGGCTAAGAGTAGGTGACCTTTGGATTCATTGAAGTGGGGGCTAGGGGAATTTCAAAATAGTTACTAATGGTTGCCCACAAGAACAGTTGTGGCAAGATGCTATTTACCAAAATTAGTCATTGCCTGACCACTCAGATGTAGTCACTTTAACTGGGGTGGGCACAGTTTGGGTGCTCCTTGGAACTGTTTATGGTTCCTTGGCTGGAGCTGAATCAGCCTTGTTCCATGCAGAGAGTTTCTCAAGGTGGCTTTTTCTGAGGATGGAGTTAACTCCATCCTCTCCAGTTTACTTTACTCTCACACTAAAGGACCTCAGATACACAGAATTATACAATATTTATCCTTTGAGGAAGGGAGGGCTTCTTTTACTTAGCATAGTATCTTCAAGGTTCATCCACATTGTGGCTTTCGTCAAATTCCCTTCCTTTTAAAGACAGTTGTACCGACTTCCTTTTGTAGTCTGTTGGACTGACATAGCTCATGTATATCCATGCATCTGTTCATTTATTTTCTTTCTATCTTTGGCTTTTATGAATGCTGATGCTATGAACATTTGATTACAAGTAGCTTTTAATCGATTTATTTTATTTTGAACTTTATGGTTAAAAAGTTTACACACACACACTCACATACCATATGCCAAAATGAACGAGACTCAAAGACTATACAAGTCAATGAACTTCTGGGCAGTGAGAACAGTCATTCAGAATGGAAGCTGTTTTGAGATGGGGCCTCAGTGTGTAACCCAGACTAGCTTCCAGTTCACGATCCTCCTGCCTCTGTGTCCAGAGGTGCTGGGATTACAGGATGCACTACCACACTCAGCTCCTAATACTGCTGGTACCTGATTTTAGATTACATGGGTTCAGGCAGGTGGGAAGAGGTCGATCACTGTGGTGTTGACTTGAGTTTTTCGGAATGACCTATGTTACTGAGCTCTTTTCAGGTGCTTATTGGCTGTTTGCACAGCTTGGTAGAAATGTGAATTCAAGTCTTTGGCTTGGGTTATTTGTTCTCTTATTGCAGAGTTGTAACAGTTCTTTATGTATTCAGGATTCATATCCTTTTTCATTTAACTTGACAGTCTGTGGATTTATTTTGTGTGTGTGTGAGTGTGGTTTTGTTTTGTTTTTGTTTTTGCTTTTTGGTTTGTTTTGACAGCAAATTTACTAAGTAGCTAAGGCTGTTCTTGAACCTTGATCCTCTTGTTTCCACATCCGCTGCAGGGGTCATAGGCATATACCACCACACCTGGTTTACTTGATCCTGGGATGTGAACTCAGGGCTTTATGTATGCAGTCACTCTACTGTACCAGGCTTTTTCTTTGGGGCTGCCAACCAGCTCCCAAATCATAACACAGAGATGTATTGTTAGTTTCGAATGCTTGGCCTAATTTGGG